TAACTAATTACATGTGTAATTACAGTGATATGCAAAAACGTTTGGGTGCTGCTGGTAAAACTATATATTTTGTTGATTTTCTCAATGAGCATAAGTTAAGACACCATTATGCACCAACGGCAGTGACAGCTATAAACCTCTAATGTTTACTTCAAGACTGGAGGTGTTTATTCAGCTCTTGGTATTTTGTTACGTAGTACAGCTGTAATACCCCAACCTGAACTCCCAGAGGAAGCTGTATAATCACTACAAAGTAGTTTTATTGAATTTCCTACGAATGTATTTGTAAGTGAAATTACGGTGAGTGAAACTCTGCCTTAACGTTTCCAGCGAACGTCTTTCTGCCACTGCTTGTGAATTTGCCGTTGCGAGATCCATGAAAGAGCACAGCTGTTACCAACACGGCTCGTTCGGAGATACCTGAAATGACAGTCCCACCCCTACTGTGTCAATATGTGCTGTTTAACAACCGCTCTTAAATATACAGGAGCACGGAGCTATTTATACCTGCTTATTACAGTCATACTTACGACTAGTCATTAATTTACATGTCTGCAGTTATTAATGAAGTTTTCCAGAACTACTGATTTGAAATGTAATTACATAACCACACGTAGAATCACAGTCATATGAGAAATTACAAATGCGTATGTGGTGTCGATTGAAAGTGCAGAATTTCTCTTGTTTAAAAAAGGTAATTCATATAAAAATGCTTTTTTTTAATTTTATTATAGTTGTTTGCAAAAGTTTGGGCACACTGGTTAACAGCATCTTTTGTTCCTTTTTTTAAGTATAAATAGTACACAGGCTATACAGAGAACACACATTTTTAATGCATCTGTGCAAAAGTTATAGCACATTTTATATATATATATATATATATATATATATATTTTATAAATAAGTAAAAATTGTGCACTAAAATTAGCAGGAAAAAAATGCCATGTTTAAGTGTGTTCCCTGTTAAAAGACGTTCTATATTATTATATAATACAATAATAAGAGTAAAATATAATAAATATTAGAATAAAATATAATAAATATTATAGTTGCTTAAGTGCTTCATTAGATAGAAATGAATGAGAATAATGCTCATTAGTCAGTAGTCTTGCCCTTTGTATGCTTTATATACCCGTTAAGCAGGTTTGCTGACTTTGGAAGAGAGGGAGAGGGAGGGTGAGAGACATAGAAAGAGAGTGGCAGAGCGTGGGGGAGAGTGAGAGCGAGCGAGCGAGTGTGTGGGAAAGCACAGCGTCTGTGTGAGTTACGGGTGTTGCCTGTGTGACGTGGTCCGAGGGGGTTGTCTTAGTGACCAGCTCAGGTGTGTTTGTGCAGCGCCATAGCAGAGAGAGAGATAGAGCGTGCGAGAGAGAGAGGGAGAGAGAGACAGAGAAGGAGACAAAGAAGCTGACTGATTTAATGCCATTTGGAAAAGAGGAATAAACAGAAGTTACCTCAGCAGTCTGATGCGAAGCTGTGGAGTGGACGGCGTTTTCTCACGGCCTGGGTGGATTTGCAGGAAGTCGGCGGATCTTTGCCAGTCTGGGCTTGTTGAGTAAGCCAGCATTTGCTCTGCTTTTCCCTTGTTTATGGGAGCTGCACCCGGATAAAACAACATACATGTCTTAAGATATGCATATTTTCTGGCTTTTGGGTGAACGGCTGCTTTCCATGTTCCATTAATACAGTGTGATTGAACTTAGTTTGCATTGTTATTGCTGAAGGTGATGAAGTTACACAAGCTTAGGCTGATACCTTCCAATATTTGGGTCAACTGAGAATGTTTCTGATTGTTAATGCAAAAAACATATAACTTAAATTGTACTTTGAACGTTGGCCTGAATCAGCAAGACAAACGTCACTGGATACAAATACAGTGCTTTGAATTGACTTGATTCAAATAGTGATATGATTCATTGATTCTTGATTCATTAATAATATATTATAGCATATTGCATATCGCTTTTGTCGGAACAAAACATAGTTTGTAAATGTCTGTTGTCCTTTGCGTTGTGTCATGATGAATGGGCCAAAACAAATGACCCAAAATGCCTTGGAAAAAAACCTCTGGTTCCATTGACTTACATTAAAAGTAAAGGATGTTTTTTCCTTCTCCTGTAAAGTTACCATTTTGGACATACAAGGTTTTGTTCAGACAGCAGCGATATATTCATATAGCACCTTTCATACGTTTAAAATGCCACCCAAAGTGCTTAACAAGCAGGAAGACAAATAAAAGCAAGCATAAGACAACAGAAAGTAGAGATTATTGAATAAGGAAGAAAAGTAAAAATGTAATACAAATTCTAAAACTGTTTCATTCTAAAAATAACAATAAAAGTAGCAATAAAAATAAATGATAAAGATAAAATAGTGATGGAGACATGGGTAAAATCAAGAAAAGCTCTAAAAAAATGTAAAGTGGAAAAAAGAATGATTAAAAATTATTTGCACAAAACACAACAAATATAACACCAGAAGAAAACTAATAGTTGCGATGGAGCTCTGTACTGCTAGAATACACAAAGCTAAGGCTTCAACAATCAAACATCAGTGAACTGCTGAATACATGAGTAAAGTGTTTAAAAACTGAGGCTAAGCAATACAGAGGTCTCGTACTGTAATGCATGCTGGGATAGGATAACAGATCGCTCTGTATGTCTTCGCTGTCTTTCTTCCAGTAACAATTTATTTATATATGTATGGGTATTTTTGTGAAGGTGTGTGTGTGTGTAGATATGTGCAAGTACGTGTGTGTGTTTATGTGTATGAATGTATGTGTGTGTAGATTTATGTATGTGCATGTATGTACCAGCTTATCTTTGATTTATGGTGTTTATCTTTAGTCACTATGTAAACTTTGTTGTTTTGACATCCCAGCTGAGGGTGGATGGGTGGGAGGGAGGGTTATCGGTGGGAGAGCATTTGTTACTTGTGTCTATGCTATCATTGTGCATCTTGTTTTTTGTTCAGTAAAAAAAAAAATCACAAAAAAAAAACCTAAAGGAAAAAAGATGTGCCTTAAACTTCATATCGCTGCTGTTGGAACAAAACCTCATATCTCCAAACTGGTAACTTTACAGGAGAAGGAAAAAACATCCTTTACATTTAATGTAAGTCAATGGAACCAGACTTTTTGTCCAAGTGATTTTTGGCCATTTCTGTTGGTCCATTCATCATGAAATTTACACATAATGTAAAGGGCAACAAGCATTTTCAAATTATGTCAAAAACTGAAAAACGTCAACAATTGAGATACGAGGTTTTGTTTTGTCAGTAGTGATAAATAATAATAATAATAATAATAATAATAATAAAGCAAAATAGTGATAATAGAAGTGGGTAAAACAAGGAAAGTTCTCAAATGATGCAACAAATATAAAACTAGAGGAGAGCTAAAATAAAGAGATGCATTTTAAGCTGCAGTTACAAATGTAGTGCTTTGAATTATTTTGTTTCAAATAATACAGTTCACTGATTCTTGATTCAGTAATAATAATGTGCATAATAATAATAATAAACATCTTGAAGTAAAAGCACTGAATGAGCGTTGAATAATGTAATAAACTGATTAAAAAGGTGGTAAAAATGTTTTTAAAAAATCTAAAAATACATCATTCTAGAAATAATAATAAAAGTAGCAACAAAAAAAATAATAATGATAAAATAATGATATAGAAATTGGTGAAACAAGCTCAAAACTAAAAAATATAAAATAACAAATAATAAAAATTCACATAAATAATGCAGTAAATACAAAACCTGCAAAAAGCTGAAGTAAGTAGATGTGTTTTAAGCTGCATTGTCCACAAAATATTCACATACAAGGCTGTCATTATTGATTATACTAGTAATTTTGTAATCTACAAATTATTTTGATGAGTTTTAAGAAGAGGCCTTACAATAGAAATGGAATCACAAACTAAGCATAGCCTATTAAAGGTTCCAGAATATTCAGTTGGAAAAAAATGAACTATAAAATATTGAAATGCTGAAAAAATATTGAACTTCTGTGTGGCTCTGCTTCTAACTGTAAGAAAAATCAGTAGAATTTAAAACAGGTATTGTTATTATATAAACTGCCATATAATGACTACAGATTCATTGAAAAGGTATGTTGTAATCAATGAGTTTGATTAATCATGACAGCCCTAATGAAAACAGTTATTATCCATATTATCCTTTCTTTGACTTACTATTGTTTATATATATGTTGATGAAGCGTAGTCTTGTTTTATTGATATAGATCTACACATCTGAAGTAAACTCAGAGTTTTCAGTGATAATTTAATGAACAGTGATCAGTTATTCATAGACATTTGGAGCTGTATGTTTAGATGCTAATGTTCCAGACTAATAACGTTATCAGGGCTTGTGATTTTGTGTTTGTGTGCACCAGATGATGTCATGCTTTGTATCCCATGAATACTTCATGATGGAAACTTGTGGCCAGAGCCCACAGCGTCAAATAATACATGACTGTATTTCTATAGTTCGGCAGTTATCCAGAATCTTTCCCTTCTCTGAGTGTATTGTTGAGGCTTTAACTAGTGCAGATCACATAATATGAAATTGTTCATAAATGCAGTTTTGTTCAGTGTGTAAATACAATAACTTATCAGGATGTGCTTTGAGGGCCTTAATGTCTACACAATTTCCATTGTGCTTGCTTGCCTCAGTGTGAATAAAGCAATAGTTGGAATGAAAATGGAGTTTTGTTGCAGTTAAGTTAGCCTGTAAGCTTTCGGTGATTGCGGTCTGTTGAAGGTCTTAATGGAGCTGTATCAGAGGTGTGTGGTGGTTTAAGGTCTGGGATTAAGGGGGATTTTCAAATGCCTATGGGCTATAGTAATAAACAATGAAATGCACTCACAGTATGAGGTTTAGAACCAAACACTTACTTAGTCGTGTTGTTTTGTAGGACTTTGTTGGATTATTGCTGATAACACTCAACACACACCATCGCACTCACAGTCTTCTGTCTCTGCTCTGCTCCTCAGGTCGAAGCTTCCCCATGAAAACCACCTGGTACTGTCCACTCAACCTGGTAAGCCCACTGTTTCTTGCTACGGAAAATGTTTTGTACACATCACAACTGACAGTCACTGACAGCTGAAAGAACATTGTGACTTATTTTGATATTTGAGTATCTGTTGAACCGATAATCGTCTGAACAAAACCTCGTATCTCCAAAATGGTAACTTTACAGGAGAAGGAAAAAACATGCTCTACTTTTAATGTAAGACAATGGAACGAGACTTTTTGTCCAAGTAATTCTGGGTCGTTTTTTGGCCCATTTATCATGAAATTTACACACAATGAAAAGGCAATTAGCATTTTTAAATTATGTCAAAAAATAAAAAAACGACAAGAATGGAGATACAAGGTTTCTTCGGACAGCAGTGATAAAATAATAATAATAATGATAATAATAATCATAATAATAAAGCAAAAATTGTGACATAGAAGTGGAAAAACAAGGAAAGTTCAGAAGTAAAAAATATAACATAAATAGGAAAAGGAAAAAAACAATGACTAAAACTAGAGCTGGGCAATATGACAATATTTATTATTATCGTGATAAATTACATTGCAGTGTTTCTCTGGGCATATAGTGGATATCGTCAGTACTTAAACATTACTTCCACAAAATGTTTGATTAAAAAGAGCATAATTAATCCTGTTTAATGGGATTTAGTGCAGCACAGTGTGTGAATATGTGGAATAGAAGTAATTGGATTCATAATTTTTTTGATAGTTTTTTTATTATGTTAAGTGTGGCATTACTCAATTCAACCTATCAGACATTGTGATATAATGTTCACCCACCTCCACTAAAAACCGAGTTTGTCTGGCAGTGATGTAGGCCTGGAGGCTTACCTTTTCAGGCCACAGCACTGATGTTGCACAAAAATTTAGCATCATTCAGAGGAATACATTTCAAAACATGTTTTACTACTCAAAAACTGGCAAGACAGATTGCTTGGTTTTCATGCTGGATGAGTAACATAACGGCTGCCTCAGATACAATAATGAGCTAAAACTACAGCCATGTCAGAGATGGTGTTCTAACAATTTGGTCTACCCATCAAACAGTCCTACTGAGCAAGAGCGTATCATTAATATAGCGTTTTAACGCGGTATTTCAAACATTTCATTGTGTTTTTAATGTTGATTCAGTATAGACTCAGCTTAATGCTAATCCCTGATAAGATGATTAAGGCTAAATATATAAAAATATTCTAACCATTCTTGTAATGCTGGCAACATTTTCTGATAAGGACATTTAGGCTGTGAAAATGTCGTATTTGTAGTTTCACTGCTGGTGGCTTTTTTTAAAAGGTGATTTAATCTGTCAAAATATCCTAATTACAGTTTTACGTAGCGCGCTGCTGATAAATATGTGCTACAGCAGGACATTTTGACAGGTATCTGGCCGTGCGCTCGCTGTGCGCTCGCTGCCTTCTCAGTCACGTCCTATAATGTCCTTAACGTGTCCTTGGCAATGTGCTAATGTTCAGGTGCTCGCATTTCGGAGTAGCAAAGTGTAATATTGTTTACATATTTACTTGCAAATACTGTCAAAACATAAAGCTGATACCTCAGCAGCAGCAGTAGTAGTATCTATAGTAGTAGCAGTAGTAGTGGCATCAGCAGTAGTAACATTAGTAGGACTATAGTAATAGCAGCAGTAGTAGTAGTTGTATTAGTAGTAGTAGCAGTAGTAGCAGTAGTAGTATTATTATTAGTAGTAGCAGTAGTAGTATTATTAGTAGTAGTGGCATCAGCAGTAGTAACATTAGTAGGACTATAGTAATAGCAGCAGTAGTAGTAGTTGTATTAGTAGTAGTAGCAGTAGTAGCAGTAGTAGTATTATTATTAGTAGTAGCAGTAGTAGTATTATTAGTAGTAGTGGCATCAGCAGTAGTAACATTAGTAGGACTATAGTAATAGCAGCAGTAGTAGTAGTTGTATTAGTAGTAGTAGCAGTAGTAGCAGTAGTAGTATTATTATTAGTAGTAGCAGTAGTAGTATTATTAGTAGTAGTGGCATCAGCAGTAGTAACATTAGTAGGACTATAGTAATAGCAGCAGTAGTAGTAGTTGTATAGTAGTAGTAGCAGTAGTAGCAGTAGTAGTATTATTATTAGTAGTAGCAGTAGTAGTATTATTAGTAGTAGTGGCATCAGTAGTAGTAACATTAGTAGGACTATAGTAATAGCAGCAGTAGTAGTAGCAGTAGTAACATTAGTAGGACTATAGTAATAGCAGCAGTAGTAGTAGTTGTAGTAGTAGTAGCAGTAGTAGTAGCAGTAGTAACATTAGTAGGACTATAGTAATAGCAGCAGTAGTAGTAGTAGTAGCAGTAGTAGCAGTAGTAGTATTAGTAGTAGTAGTTGCAGTAGTATTAGTAGCAGTAGTAGTATTATTAGTAGTAGTTGCAGCAGTAGTAGTTGCAGCAGCAGTAGCTGCATTAGTATATTAAGGATTATATTAGAAGTAGCAGCAGCAGTATTAAGTAGAATTAGTAGTATTAGCAGCACTGCTACTAAAAGTAGCAGCAGCAGTAGTAGGAGTAGCAGCAGTGGTAGTGATAGTGTTACAAGTAGTTCAACTATTACTTTCTTCTAATGCTACTACTTCTATCATTGTCATTATTTTTTCTTATTGTTTATTAATCTCATTCCCTGTCTGTTCCTCAGTCCACTGTGTCTGAGAAGGAGGAGGATGGCATCATCTACACAGTAATAGTGAAGCCACAGCATGGCAGCTCCAATCCACAGGTAATAACCCACTCATTACTCTAGTGTGCAATCCCCCACTCACTGCACTGCTAACCCAGTGCTGCTTTGACTGCACTAATACTACAGTAATATCAAGTAATATCAAGTCAGTGGACTAATGCTGTTGCCAGGTAAATCTCACAGTCACGGTGCCAACATTACAGATGTTTTTACGTTTTTAAATGTTTCTTAAAAGTGAGCACTGAGCTTCACTGTCTAATAAAAGGTGAAACTGAGATCCACAGTTTAGAAGCAGAATAACTGAACGAGTCCCTCCATGTTTTCTGTATTTTACAGAAGGTATAGCAGAAGGTATCACATGCTGGAACATAGACAGATATTCTGTGATGTAAGCGGTGCTTTAAGGTCATTTAGAGCCTTAAAAACTAGTAGCAGAACTTTAAAATCTATCCTGAACGATACAGGCAGCCAGTGCAGTTCTTTTAAAACGGGAGTGATGTGATATCTCTGTTTCGTCTTTGTTAGGATGCTGATGCATTTTGTATGAGTTGTAGAGGATGCATTGTTTTCTAAAGAAGTCCAGTGAGAAGTGCATTACAGTGATCAACTCTGCTTTTAACAAATGCATGAACATGTTTCTCTGCGTCGCTCTGACACCGAACTTTAGCGATATTTCTCAAACGATTAAAAGCTACTTTCATGACTGTTTCCATGCAGCATAAAACAGAGCTCAAAGTCTAAAATCACACCCAGATTTCATACTTCAAGTTTGGTATATGAATCTAAAGAGCTGAGCTTCTCATAAAGCATTTTACTCTGAATTTTAGTACCAAGGATGAGTGTTTGTTTTTTTCATGAGTTAGTTGTAGAAAACTTTGTAACATCCACTGAGAAATATCTAACACACAGCTGGTAAGCCTGTCAATAAAGTCTTGATCATAAGAATGAAGTGAACCAGAGGTAACATGTACAAAGAGAAAAGCAAAGGCCCTAAAACTGAACCTTGTGGGACTCCACAAGAAACGTTCATTTCTTTGATGATTGATTTCCCAGTTAAACCAAGAACCGTTTATTCACTAAATATGATTTAAACCATTCTAAAATTGTGCCTGAGAGGCCTACACAGAATTCAAGACAGTCGATTAGCTGCTCTAAGATTCAATAAGACCAGAATAGAAGGATTTTAAGCCTGAGGTCATCAACAACACAAACCAGTGCTGCCTCAGTACTGTGGCTAGAACGAAAACCTGACTCAAACTTCTTATATGACTTGTTTAATACTAGATGTGCATTCAATGGCTTGAAAACAACTTTTTCTAAGACTTTACCTAAACAAGGAAGGTTTGAAATTGGTCTAAAATTATTTAGTATAGAGGGATCTATACTTTTTTTTAGTAGAGGCTTCACCAGGGCAGTCTGTTGACAGAGAACAGTTTACAACAGTTAAAACGTCATTGTGAACACAATCAAAACCATCTCAGGGAGTGAAGTACAGGTTCAAGATCACATGTGGACGAACTTAATTTGTTTAGAACAGTTGTAAGCTGCTGATCACTGATAACAGAGGAAGATGTCATTACTGACGTAGGTGGCTTATCAGGAAGGTTATAGGAGCTGGTTTCAGTCAGCTGAGTTATCAAGCTCTCAATTATCAAGGCTATTTTATTTTCGCAAATTTTATAAGATAAATCACCCTGAGACACACTAGGAGAAAATTTAGGGTTTATTAGTCAATCTGTGGGGGAAAAAGGACTTTGGCATTATCTTTGTGTTTATTAATTACACTAGAGAGTCATGACTGTCTTTTTTCATAGCCTTATTGTAAGTGGAGAATCTGCTCTTTGAGCTTAGTTTTCCTACTTAAGCGCTCTGACAAATTCTTTTAAGTTGGCGTATTTCCGCATTCATGCATTTTTATAAGCAAGCGAGTGATTTATCCAATTCTTACTGCACTAATGCTACTGGAGCTACTGACCTCAACTGGACCCTAGATCACCCAACAAATCTGAAGATATCTTGGTGACACTCTTTCACCATTTTCAAATCTGACATTTTGAGGTTTGCTAATAAGCTGAAATGGACAAAGTGCACCAGCAAAGTCGTAATTCCAGAAGTGCAATGATTTTTAATTGTATTAAACATACTAAGTGAATAATTGATGAATAAGAAATGCTACTAACCACTGCAGTAACCAGCTGCAGCTCATGTTCCCTCTTGTTATAAAGCTCCTGCTGACCCCTCGGCCTCCTCTCTCCCAGTCCGCAGGCCAGCGCTCGCAGTGTGTGAAGGCCGGGACGGAGGAGAAGCTGGTCCTTCACCTCCTCCACTCCTTCTCCATGGAGGACTCGTCATTCATCTCCATCTTCCTCTCCACCTACCGCTCCTTCACCACCACACAGAGGGTGCTGGACATCCTGACGGACAGGTAAAACCCCAGGGAAAATATATGCTGCGCTTTGCTTTGATTATAACAAAATATTTCAGTAACAGAATCTTTTTGGTTACTGAAAAGGTGTAATCTAATCAGATTGCTGTTTACAAGTTCTGATCTATGGCTGCGTTCACATTACAAGCCTCACTGCTCAAATCCGATTTTTTGCTCAAATCCGATCTCTCTGACACGATGGTTCACACTCGTTTAGGTAAGTGACTCAAATCTGTCATTAATGTGAACGAACCGGCGTCCTGAAATGACCCTGATGAGCTCATCCTACTTAGTAACGTCATGTAAATGAATCACGTGCATCATCACCACAAACTAACGAGCAGAACGAGCTTCGCTGAGAAGATCATTAACTCTGATCAGCTCTCAGCTTCATTATTAGAGCGAGACTAAGGAGAAAAAGGTGAGATGAGCTGCTTTTCCACCATTTACAGGTTTTAACTTCTGTTTGCCGCTGCTGCCATGGTAACGTTGAATGATGGTGCACGTGCAGTGGAAAAAGCACATGAATTTCGATCTGAGCGTCACATTAAGGTCGCATGGCCACGAATTAGATACGTATTCGATCTAGAACCACATATGAAAGTGGCTCAGGTCGGATTTGAAAAGATCAGATTTGCGTGTTCACACAGCCCTGAAAACATCAGATCTGAGTCACTTTAGGGCAAAAATCGGATTTGTACCACTTCAACCTGGTAATGTGAACGTAGCCTGTGTGTTATTTCGGTTTCATCATCCCCACAATTTCATAAAGTTAAACTGTGTAAAGATACAGCCCTGATATCCAAAACCACACGACTATTGTTATTAGTCATAGTCATGACACTGTTATAAGGCTTATCGGCACACTCAGTAAATGAAAAAATAATTTATTATCTAACAATAAAGTCATTTAATATTGATTTATTCCAGTTGCCTAATCAAAAAAAGTAATCCTTATATCCAGTAATCCATAAAAAGTATCTAAAATCTGATTGTTATTTTGAAAGGTATCCTGCTCTAATAACTTGAGATTTGTGATGAAATTATGTAATCCAGATTATATATAGTTAGCAAAAAGGTTTTGTATGATATTAAAAACAAATACATTTTTAATTAATTGAAACTATATAACTTTATAAAAAATTATATTTTATAATAAAAAATAATATTTTTGTATAGCCAGAGCTGAAGAATATATTTTCATGAAAGTAGCAAAGTTTATTTTAAATCTGTACATATTTGTAATACCTATTACATATTCTTTGTAGATTATTAACACATTTCTGTGTTTTTGTTGTTACTCAGACTGGGAAACCCACCAGGAGAGAGTAGCAGTCCCACCCGGCAAGCCTTCAACAAGTAAGTTTATCAGCTTAAATGACATAATATGATTAAATGATATTATAACTGTATGTGTTTTTTCTTCACTTTGGAGTAAATGCAAAAGTCCAGTAAATGTTATGACTGGTCATAAATCAGTGTTTCTCACCACCTTCCTATTGTCATCTAATAGAATCTTAATCCTAATTATGAAGCCTCAGTTAATATATAGAGTAGATTAATGCTGTACTGCTCACACTGCCAAAGTGTGTCTGCTTGTGAAGTGGAATTTGAGAAATGCTCATACTCATATTCTGTCACCGAAACATGTTTGATTTATGGGTGTTCCAGTCTAAAACTGGAGGTTAATGTGTTATTTGTGGTGTTATACATTATACATATGCATCCTGGAGCACAGTGTTCTTTCCCTCAGCCTCACTGGTGTGACAGGATTCAAGAAACACATAAACGATGTGTTTTCATCCACTATTGTTGTTACAGCGGTACCCAGCATACACAAATACATCATTCAGCCATTGTGAAAGCATGTGGTGTCAACCAATCCTGACTGCTGATAGCTTAGCCACAAATGGATGTTTTTTTATCCTTTCAGCCTGAGAAGCAGAGCTTACTTTAGCTTCTTTAGCTTCTGAGAAGCCATTTCTGTCATTTGAAAAATCCTTTCTCTGCATTGTAATGATATCAAGAGCGCTACTCTTGCATTAAAACAATAAGCAGTAAAATACACCTCAAAGCAGTTGTAGTTTTTCTAGTTTCTTCCACCTTCAAGTCGCATCATCAGAAGGGAGTTTTCCTAGTCTTTAATTTAAAAAGTCTCCTCTAGAAACCACTGCAGCAGCACTGGAGTAGGCAGATAGGCATGTTTACAACAGGATGGTTAAATTATTAATTTTGGCCAGAGTTTCCCTTTAATTAATCCTAAATAGACTAGCTCATGAGGTTTCTGACACTGTATGATGTACTGTTATCTTAAAAAAGCAGACAAAAGTATGTTGTGGAGCTAAAAACAGAAGTAACAGCTAATCTCGAAGCCTGCATTTTGTCCTTGTGTCTACATTCTGTCTATTATTTGTTAGCTTCAACGACAGAAGCGAACTAAGAACACTAAACATGTTTTGGCTGACCGACTGCATTTGCGGTGAGGGGGAGTGCTGGACGCGTGCTGAGATCTGAGCCTGTCCCTCTGTGTGTGTGTGTGCTGTGTCCAGGGCGGTGTGTACCGTGTTCAGCACATGGTTGAGCGAGTATCCGGAGGACTTTCGCTCTCTGGGGGATCCGTCTCGCCTGCTGCGCCTCACCCCCCTGCTGCCCCCGGACGCGGCAGGAGCTGACCTTAGAGGCAGGCTGCTCAGGATCGCAGAGGAGCTGAGCGAGAAAGCACTGATTCCTGACCAGCCTACAGGTCAGACTGCAGCCACACAGTCTTCTTGCACCACAGAACTTATTGAGGACCTATTGAGAGCCTGAATCAAAAAAGCTGAATCATATAATAAACACTTTCTTTAAAGTCAAAATTGACCATTTTACCTTGTTAGTTCATGTCATATTTGGCATTATTTATCAAATATCATTTAGTAGACATAAGTGTGTTTTTCATGTAATCGTGCATTCAAAATTTAAAGACCTTTGCCCTGCCCCTAAAACATCTAATGAGTTTTAATGACATCATCGTGCACCAACGAGCTGGGGAAAAAAAACACATTCACCAATAATATCCTATGATATTATACAGGTAATATGTTATGATTTCTGATTCACGTTGACAAGTAAATCAACTTAACATGTGCTATCAGATATCAAACCTGTAAGATCTTCTCTCATTCAGCAATATAATAATTATTGATATTGAATAGTGATAATAAGTATGATATAATAATAAAAATAGTAAGTGAACAACAAGAAAAAAAACATTTCACAATTATATTTAAGCATTCTTTCATCGCTCCTTTGACAATTCTAGATCTAAAACTGATTTTGGGTCTGGGTTGCGGTGGGCAATATGGCAAAAATGTCATATCATGACCCTTAATTTTCACCATACACAATGTTTTGACACTGATAAAATGCACTAGTAGTGCCACTTTTGAACTTTTCAGCATTTTACACTTTGCACTGGAGTAAATCAAATCAAACAGGGTTAATTGTGCACATGCAGTTGGTCAGTGTTCTTTAAATAATGGTGATATCCAGAACACACTCACAAAAAAATATTGTTTATCACCATATCAAAATTTATCACGATATCAATCAAATATTGTCATATTGCCTAGTAATAAGTAATAACACCATTTGATTGATTTGTATCTTGCAAGATTGCATTTTAAAGTTGTTTCCATAATTTTTATACTTTTGATGATACTTTTTATGATGTTTTTTTGAACAACTTTATTAGAACATTCAGTGCATATAGAAAACACAGTTGCTATGCCTTGCAGATCCTGCCAGTACTCTCCTCCAAACTCCTCCTGACCCTGAAAAGTTTGATGCCACCAGCATTCTAGGCTTCCCCTCCAGTGTGATAGCAGAGCAGCTGACCAAGATCGAGACGGTGAGTCTGACATACACTGCTACATGTGCACAGGACCAAAGTTTGGACATTTGAGTGAATGCATGCTTTTCATAATCTTAAAGACATTTTAATCTAAAGCCTATATGCTTAAACACTTGAAATATGTTTCAAAGACAAATATAGGTGGTGAAGTTGGTGTAAAAATGTATTTCCAAAGCAAAACGTTACATTTAAAAAAAGATTTCTTGAAATGCCAACAAGTAGTTTTCAGGAGGTCTCAGCACGCTCGTTTCTTCTTCAAGCCTGTTGGAAAAGCATCCCTGGTGGCTCCTTGTGAAGCTGTTTAAGAGAGTGCCAAGAGTGTGTAAAACTGCATCAAGGCAAAGGGAGGCTGCTTGGAAGAGTCTAAAACAGAAGATATTTTTGATTTGTTCAGCGGTGTAATCAGAGAGGCTAAATACAAGGGAAATATAAATGATAAAGGAAAACTGAAAGCGCAAGTCTTCTAAGGCAGGGGTCTTAAACTTCTTGAGGACCGATATCCAGCACAGTTTGGTGTGTTCCTTACTCAACTGCACCTGATTCAAATCGTCTGTTAATTATCATGTTTAGTACATGCTTTTTGCGGAGGGCAGTTACTAAACTGTGCTGGACACCAGAGTTCAGTACCTCTGTTCATAAGGGTACAGTAACACCTTTAAAGTACAGCTTGATTGATATATCGCTTGGCTGATAGTACTGGCTGATATAGACTAGCAATGCTTTTAAGGATATCAATGAAAATGATGCTCTGATAACTAGCCACATTTTTTTGGTTTCAGCATTACCAGGATTTGAAATCTCCTGGTGACACAGCCTTAAAACCTTAAAACCTTAGATGTTTTTGCCACTAGGGAGCCCAGTATAAGTCACCACCTGCCCCCCCCTCCCTGGACACCTAACGCTGTCATGGTTAGAATAATAAAACACGTCAAATGTATTCAAACCTAACCTTTAGCATGAGAATATTATGTTATGTTATGTACATGTTAGAAAGCTACATATTTATTCAGAGAACTAATGAAAGATAAGAGAATTACAGATACAGATAATAACAGAAACCAAAAACATTGTGAAATATGAAACAAAAACGTTGTGAGTAGTTATTTTATATTATATCTTCACTGGTAATCCAGATTGTGTAAAACAGTAAAAAATAGAGGAAAACACTTAATGAGTACCCAACCTTTGGCTGCTACTGTACATCCAGTGCCTTAAACACATGGACAAAAGACTGTAATCTAATAGGAAGTTAGCTCAGATATGGTTATTTGCATGTATATTATATTCTTTGTTGACTTGTTTCTCTTCCTATAGGAGCTCTTTCTGAAGCTAGTGCCCTACCATTGTCTGGGTTCGCTGTGGTCTCAGAGAGATAAGAAAGGCCGGGAAGGAGTGTGCTGGTCAGTCAGAGCCACAGTCCGGCAGTTTAACCGGCTGGCCAACGCTGTGACCGCCTCCTGCCTGTGGCAGACAGAGCTAAAGAGCCAGCAGAGGTCACGCCTTCTGGAGAAATGGATCAGCGTGGCCGAGGTTAGAGTGGTCTAAGAGTGGTTTCAGGCCTGCAAATGTTCTGTGCTTTCTGCAGCTGCTGAATAGCTTACGTCCATTCAGAAATGTCTTTTTTTCTGCTGGCTCCTGTACAGGCTTGTCGAGCTAGGAAGAACTTTTCATCCCTGTATGCCATTGTGTCAGCCCTGCAGAGTAACCCCATCCACAGACTGAGGAAAACCTGGCAGGAGACGGACAGGTCAGTGTCTGATCTCCACAGTGGTGAAAAAGCACACTATAAGAACTGCTGTTAGCCTCAGGCAAGGCAATCTCTCGAAAAACCTCTGTTTACAAAGATCTATAGAGTGAAAAAACTCCTAGTCAGTGGCCTAACCTTATAATACGTGTCAATCTTCAGCCTACATTAGAGCTCCAGCTTGGTTGAGACACGTCCAAAAATATCCAGACACCTCTTCTAACTATTTAATTCAGCTCATTGCTGATACATGCATTCAGTTTATCATATGCAGCTTGTATTATCTCCATAGAAAAGCATTGATCAGTAGGATTATACTCTCTTGAGCTGTTGCACATGAGCCTAAGGTCATGCCCAATGCCAAGTGTCTTCTAGAGGGGTATAAAGCCCCCCAGCATTCTGTGGAGCAGTGAAACTGCATTCTCTGGAGTGATGGAGCTCCATCTAATACCTTTAGGATGAGCTGAAGTGATGTTTGTAATCTAGAACTAATCATCCAAAATCAGTGCCTGACCTCACTAGCGCTCTTGTGGCTGAATGCTATCAAATCCTCAAGGCAGTGTCCCACCATCTAGTGTAAAGCCTTCCCAGGAGAGAAGAGCTCCCTATGAATACCCTTGATTTCAGAAGAAACAGCAAGTGTCTACAAATTTTTGGACATATAGGGGCAGAGTTACTAACAGTTGCACCATCACAAACCCCATTTTGGCATTAAAAAGCAACTTTCGTAATTTAATAAAAAGGCACAATGCTTTAGTGCCCATAATAAGACCAAAGGGGTGATCACTGCTCTAGTACACTGCATTTCTAGCAGTTCTTTTCTCAAAGCACAAATGCCTTTAAAATATTGTTATAATGAAGCACCTACTCACATTTACCATGAATGATGGTAAACACTGACTGTGCGCTGTTTAAACCTTCTTAGTTTTGATGCTAAAATGGCTGGCATTGAGAGTTTTTCAAACACATGTATTTCTTTTTCATGAAAAAAGACTGAAACAGACAGATGAAAAGTTTTTCTCTTTTACTTGAAACTAGCTTTCATACAAGAAGCACATTAGCAAAACATGTGGTTATAATGTTTTGGTCATATGTAAGTTTTGCCTGTGCTCATTTGCATTAAATTCTTAGTAGACAACCTACTGAATTGGCTGCCCCCACCGGTGTAAAGTGTCAGTAATGAGTGCCTCTCTTAGCAAATCTGCCCCATAGGGTCCTAGTGATGCCCTTATGATGAAGAAATGTTGAAGTATGATGAAGAAATGTTGATGTATGATGAAGAAATGTGCACAATTAATGCAAATGGGAGGTTTAGAAAAAGGACTTTCACTTTCAAAAAGCATTAGTTTATCACTAGATCATCAATGTGCTGCTGTACTGGTGCAACAGCCACTAACATAACACTACCATACTGGTTCTGGGAATGGTCTACCACCTTAATAATAGTCCTATGCAGTAGTCCTATGGTGGTTTGGTTACTCTGTGGTTTGGTTAGACTGTGAGGTACAGTGAGCAAAAGTTTCTGATAAAATGGGCCAACAAATGTACTAAAGGTACCTAATAAACTGGCAACTCAGTGCAGATAACAGTATGTCATAAAATGTCAGAAACCACGTGAATATATATAGCATTTCAGTGCTGTTTAAGGCATATATGTGCTAATTTAGGCCTGCAGTTTGCACAGTGCTAATCTGGGTTTTCTTTGATTTAGTACATTTGAACTGATTATTCACCAAAGTATTCCTTTACAGAGTTAACTGTGTTTCTCAGTTCAGAAAACTGCTCTGCATTATTGTGAATGGGCTTGGCGTCTGCTGAATCTGGCATTGTGAGAATGCAGCAGTAAGCAGGCAGCTAAGAGGTCATGCTCTTTGTGACCCTAACAGGGAGGCAGTGAAACGCTACGAGGAGCTGGCCTACATTTTCTCAGAGAAAGACAACTACTCCCAGAGCCGCGAGCTGCTCAAAGAAGTGAGTCACACACCAAGCACAAAGGTTCTTATTCAAAGCACCATCCGGCTCTTCCCGTTCGGGTGACGATGACATAGACGCCTCCATTGTGTGACTTGGTTCTGCGAATCGCGCATTACTGATGGGGCTGTTTGCTGCGTGTCTTTGTACTTTTTAAGGCTATTCTAGGCGGCTCGAGAGCACCACAGTGACAATTCAGAGAGAACCGAACTCTTTGATAATAAGGGCTAATAAGGGAAGGAGAACTGATGACACACATAAAATGAGCCATTTAGTGCCAGTCATGCAAAGCAGCAAAGGCTCATGTGTTTCAATAGCCTGAACGATTCTCCCTTCTTAAAGGCCTAGTTTTGTGAGTTAGTCATGTGTTGGTCGGTGCGCTTCGTTCTGTAGCCGACTGCATACCTGTATAAGGATCTCTGGGTCTAAAGATGGTTCTTCAAGGGTTCTTTAGTAAGGACAGTGGTTCTATGTAGAACCGTGACCTCTATATAGAACCATTCCGTGCTTAAATGGTTATTTGCATGGTGAAATGGTGAAATGTGTTGTATATGGTTTACTGTAGCACATTTTTGAAAACACAAATAACCATTTAAGCATGAAATGGTTCTATTTAGAACCATGGTTCTAAACAGAACCTTTGCTTTTACTAAAGAACCCTTAAAGAAACATATTTTTATGTGTGTATGGTTTAAAATGAGAAGCGTGTTTTGAAAATCACACCCTGTGGTGAACAAAAAGGTTCCAAAGCTGATGCGTCTTGTCCTGCATGCAATGTCACTGATTCCTTTCTACAAGGTTGTTAAGTAGTCAAAATGCGAATAATGCTACATATTTTCTACAAGCAAGCTAACACTGCTGTGCACTGAAGTGATGTTGCATTAAAGTAAGTTTAATACGATACTTTTATGTAACTTTTATAAGATACTATTATATAACAGCCCCAGCTATTTATACTGTAGACTACTACCGCCAAAGCAACTTCACCAACACATTTGACAAAGCAAAATTCGTATTTCGACTACTTAACAACCTCATAAATCATTGGGTCCAGTGACATTTGGAGGAAAAACTTCACCCTCTACTGCACACGTTATGAGAGCAATGAAAAAAAAACAAAGTTTGGATTCACTTTTCTTGCATAACATGGACCTGATTATTAAATTTCAAACCATTTTTTCAAAAATATCATGTGCAGGGGTCATTTTGGGGTATGCTGCCTTGAGTCAACATTGTGCAACATTGGGAAGCAATGATATAGAGCCCTGTTCCCTAAAGTGGTGAGACCTGGCTTGTGACTGGTCAGATCCATTTAATTGTAGCTTATGTTGCTTATAGGCAACAGACATATTTCTGCAAGTTCTCATAACAAAACAAAATTATACTGAATGTTCAAAGGAGGTTTAAAAGTGCCCACTAAGAGAAAGTATGACCAAGTACATGATTTGTATTGGCTTACTTAAACTCTTCCCTTTATTGTTAACCCTGTCATTATCATGAAATATGGGTAATTTTATAGTAAAGTGAGGGAAATGGGTTTGTTGCCCTGAGACAACATCGTGCAATAGAAGGTTAAATAGGACAGAAAGTTTTGAAATGTTTTGAAATGTTCCACAGTGCTGATTTGCAAGAATAAGCTTAATTTTTCCCATTGAGGAAAGGGCTTAGGCCCAAAGCTCTTATATGGACATGTCACTATGTCAGACTACAAAGTGATGACACAACTTCAAAGGCCTATAAGCACGTAGGCTCAGACTAGAAATAGAACCCGGATTGCTTCCAGGTAAATGGCAGTTACTAGAAATGAGATATGAGTGTAGCCTATAGTAAAATTCCCATTAACACTTAGAGTCGGCCTACTAAAATAACCATATTTAATTTTGCATTGTAAATTAGCAAAAACGACATGCCACAGAAAAAGACTGATACTATATTGACACTCTTAAGATAGCCTAGGTTTCCTTATATGCGGATAAGTGCTCCCAAATTTTAGTGAACAGCACTATTTCTGTCTATTTCTGTCTATAATAACTCACCCTTGTGTTGTACAGGAGGGAACTTCCAAATCCGCTAATGTAGACACTAAAATCAACAACAGAAGACACACGGTAAGTAAGCCTGACTGATTCACCAGCAAGCAGAAAGAAAATAATGGGCTTCTCTCATTACAGCACCTTTCTGAGTACAATATAAATGAATTAAAGTAGATTAAATTGTAATTTTATGCCTATAAAATGTTCAAAGAATCTGTACAGAGTAAAAATGTCTGCTAACTTCCAAGCTAAGGAAACAGTTAGCTGGCTAGCTAATCTTGGCTAAATAGCTACTGTATTCTTTCCTGTTATCTTTTTACTTTGTCATTTTATAATAACAGACACAACAGCTCTTTATCAAACCTAAAACTGTTGCTTATATCTTTTTAATGGGTACCTGCTAGCTAGCTAGCTAATTTAGCTAATGTTCAAGGTAAGCTAACAGGCTAGCTTAGGTAGCAAGTAAACCCAGTGAAACCAAGAGCATCAAACCTTCTTTCTTTGATGCAAAACAACTTATTCAGTCTTACTTGAGTCTTTATTAACACTTTAATTGGTGTTTAAATGAGTTATTTCTACCATAGCAGTACTCTTACTTTCAGTAGTACTGAAAGCGATGCTCTCTTTCTGTTCTACAGTCCAGCGCTCAGGGAACCGTGCCGTACCTGGGCATCTTCTTGACTGATCTCACAATGCTGGACGCTGCAGTAAAGGACAGGCTAGAGGTAAGACGTATGAGCCAGTATACATGACCGTTTGTAAAGAATTTGTAAAGCCGTGTGTCCAAGCAGTACAGACTGGCATATCCAAGTGTGAACAACTGAAACAAATAAAAACCTCACTTTTCTTTCCTCAGAATGGCTATATCAACTTTGACAAGCGGAGACGAGTAAGTTGTTTTTTTTTGTTTATGTAATGAACATTATGTTTATTAAGGGAAATTCCACCAATTTTTACCAAAATCTGGCATAATATAGTCATTCAAATGTAAATAAACTCATCTCAGAGCACTTTAGTGTGAAATGGTGCACTGAGAAAATTTCACACTTTATCAAACAGATTTTCTTTACAGTAGTGTTGATAGGAGTCGAGGGTCACCATATCTACAAAACATGAATTTTATTTACTATTAACCTAAACATGTTTTTCTATGTAATGTTGATAACAGCCAGTTTGGGGTAATTCTAATCACGCAGTGTATGTGACATGAAATGGTTACTAAGTTTTTCTGTGATGTAGCTTTTAATTGATTTTGACTGATTGATTTTGAGCTTTTGATTTTTCAATATTTTTATTATTGAAATGTAATATTCTACAAAAAACTGTAATTCACACACATACAACTTTACAAAACAAATGACTGGATCAGCCATTAAGGAATCCTACTACTGATATATATATATATATATATATATATATATATATATATATATATATATATATATATATATATGCAACTTTACTTTGATTGCATATGCAATGTAAGTTTTGTACTGTAAGTTTTAATGCCACTGCAACACTTTCAGAAATCGATTACTTTCTCTTTCTCCTTCCCCAAAGGAGTTTGAGGTTCTTGCCAAAATCCGGCTGCTCCAGTCGTCCTGCAGAAACAGCACTTTCAGAGCAGATGAGTCGTTTTTGCACTGGTACCACAGTGTGCCTACGCTGACCGAAGAGGAGAGGTGAGTGCTATTGTAGGTCATTGTTACTATCTTTCAAATAATCTGTATATGGATATGGTGGATGATGTAGTGTGTGTTGTTTATTGTAGCTACAGACTGTCCAATCAGATTGAGGCTCATGGTGAACCAAGTCCTGGACGTGCTCTGCACCCTACAGTGGTCATCACAGAGTGTCCTGAGTAAGCTCCGACTTACACTCACCCAACACTCGCTCAGTCATTATACGAATATCTAGTTTGCATTTATTTTACTATGCACTTATATAGTTTGCTGTATTTTATTACCTAAATGTCACACTGAAATATATGACTTTGAATTGAAGTAAATTTAGTTTAAGGAATGAAAAGCCTGCATTTTTAACAAAAAACACATCGCAATTATTGGCACCCGTGCAAAGTAGTTTGGCCAACCTCCTATAACACCTGATGACATTGGAGACCACTCCTCATATCCATATCCTTCAGGGTCCTAGGACTCTCCTTTTCAGCTGTCCCCACTAGGGTTTAGGTCAGGGGACTGGGATGGCCATGTCGGAAGCTTGATTCTGTGGCCAGTGATTCATTTTTTTGTGAGTTTAGACGTATGTTTTGGATTTTGTCCTTCTGGAAAATCCAGCCATGACCCAGATTCAGTTTTTTTAGCGAAAAGACTAAAGATTAATATCGCCTAGTGCTTAACAGTGGGTGCGTTTACGTGCACTCAATAATCCGATCGTAATTGGATTTCTGCAGTTATCCGATTATTCAAATGGTCAGGTAAACACCATACTTGGATCTAAAAAAAAATCTGATAAAGAGAGGATTTTAGCTCAGTAATCAGATTTCTCAGTACATGTGAACTCTTACTCTGATTTCTTTCGGATTTCTCAGCCTGCGCGTGCACGAGAACAGAAAGTGGCAAGCAGCGTTGCTGCGAGACGCAGCAAAACACTTTTGGAGAGGCGCTAAGACCAAACACGAAATACAGGATTTAAATATTCTTCACTTTCTAGATGATGTATGTTCATATTTTCAGGTAAAGTGGCGCAATGTTTTAATAAACAAGCCGCGGCATGAAGCTCAAGTTTTATGTTATGTTTACGTCACGTCTTCTTCTGCGAGTTGACTGGCTGGTTGCAAAGCAGAAATCCAATCACTGTCTGACTCATGTACACCCAGAGTTTTCTCATTATCTGATTACTCAAGAGCATGTAAAGGTGTTGAGCAGATTACTGACAAAATCTGATTTTCTGCAGTTATCGAATTATTAAGCGCATGTAAACACACTCAGTGTCAAGTATCCGAACAAGGTTTCCAGGGCCTTTGGAGGAAAAAAAGCCCCAAAACATCACAGATCCTCCACCATGCTTACCAGTGAGCATGAGGCTCTTTCTCATTCATGTTATAAGATGAAACGGTAACGCTGAAGCTTTTGCACAGAGACAGTAGGACACTGTTTACTGACATTGGGCATTGTATCTGCAGTGTACGCAGAAATCCATGTGTCTGTGTGGTCTAAAAAGCCTTCCTGCTATTAGCTGGAGCCCCTTTGTTCGGAAACACCGCCGTTTTCTGTCTGTTCAGGATAAATCCTGTAAACAGCACATGCTGACGAGCCGCCTCGCTGAGTGCAGTTTGTGACAAATTGGATTGTTCTGTTCTCAATTCTCTCTCTCTCACTCTCTCTCTCTCTTTAAGTGCTCTCGCTGTGACAAGCTCTGGCGTCGATCCTGATGGAATATTTGACTTCCCTTCGCCTGTCAATCACTTGCTTTCAAAGCTTGCCAAGGTAAAGGCCAGAATGTGCAGTACAGTTGGCTAACATTGCTCTGTTGGGTTATTCCAGACTCATCTCTGCCCCACTATCAGCACTACTTACAGATTTATTTTGAAGATCCATTGAAAGTATTTATATTGTCATACAGTTTCTACATTTTCTGACCCGTTCATCCTGCCATTCTGTACGGTTGTCATTAAAAATATACAGAAGAGCAATATTATTCTTTTAACTTTGCTCTTCTGTGTCTTTTTATCCCCTTTTGCCTCCATGGACCACCTTAAATTCTTGTTTATGATGTCAGTAAGTATCCTTATCGTTACCCCTCTATTACCACCACCTGTTATTTCAGCATATGAAATCCCCCTCCGTTTCCTGTCTGGATGTTGATTCGTCCCCACCGCCCACTGACCCCATCCCCTCCGCACTGACCACACCCACTGTCGTCAAATCACACCGCCGCTCCGTCTCCTGTGGCAACGCTCCCTCCAATACCTCCCCAGGGGCAGGGCCAGACATGAGAATCGTCAAGATACGGATGGATTTGCAAGACGGGAATTTGTATCGAAGCATTCTGGTACTGTCTCATGATGCTTGTGTGGAATTATGCTACAGTGTTTTATGCTATACAGGATTGAGTTATTAAGTGTTAACTTAATCTCAATCTTAGATTAAGTAATCTCAATCTGATACTACATATTGTTATCTATAAAAAAGGCTAAAAATTCTAGTTTCAAGATAGTTGTTAGCGACATTAGCTTCATAGCTCCAAGGTAAAACTAAAGAAACAAACTTTAGACAACAAACATGTCTTGGCTGATCAACTACAGCACTGCGCGAAAAATCAGAGACTACTTATTTAATTTCTAGTCAAGACGACCACTGAGTACAAGTTATTCATTTTGCAGCGTCAGGTAAAGAGCAGAAAAATATATGTAACAGAAAATTACAGACGCCTCAACAACCAAATATAGTTACATTTTTTTTCAGTATTTAAAATGTCCACTTCTGCCTTTATTACAGCTTCCATTCTTTTACAGGAGACTTATGCTACGTCTTTCTCACTAAATTCGATTTTTCTGTTTGGCTGTTCACAGTATCTTTTTAATGTGATCTGTATGCGACATCAGTCTGAACAGATCCGCTCCTAAACTGAACTGCATGCACAAAAGAACAATGCTTCACGTGGTAAACGTCGGATATCGGATACGTATCGGATTTCAGTACCACATATGAAAGCGTCTCAAATCGGAATTGAAAATGTCAGATTCAGTGTGTTTTTTGCTGTTCACACTGACACACAGACACACATCTGTGTCACATATGAAGAAAAAAATCGGATTTGGGCCACTGCTGTGTAAACGTAGCCTTGCTGTCAGTTTCTCAAAGAAATCTGACATTCAGTGATGTTAAGGTCTGGAATCTGGTATGGTCAGTCCATTATTCCAAGAACACCAGCCGCCTTTGTTAGATTAGCAAATGTTCTTCTTTTTTATCTGTTTCCTTTTCTCACTGAGGTTCTTCTTGACAGCTACACATCCTTTCAGACTCATAGCGCTGAGTCGTCTTCTTACGGTGGAAGGATGGACAGAAACACCTGTGGATGTTTTCAGATCTGAAGCAGCTTAAATTTCTCCTCTCTCTCAAAGATGAAAGCTTTAAGTGCTGTTTATCTGATGAGGACAGTTTTGGTGGTCTAGCAGGTCTTGCATGGTTGATAGGAATCACATTTTAAAGCATTTCTTTACAACCTTTGTAAAGTCTTATTCTTTCACTTAATTTTCTTTGAATTTGATCTTCCTTATGAAAGTGGATTATCTATCTTATCTCTTCAGAAATCTCTCCTGAAAAATAAATAACTTGTACTTAATGGCTGTTCTCACTGGAAATTCAGTAGACAGTGAAGGGTGGTCTCTTTTGCACAGTGCTATATATATATATAAATTTGGTTTTTTTGCCAAACTTTCACTTGAATATCATGCTAATATAAACAATATTTCACTCCCCAATCTTAATCCTACTTGAGGAGTTCTGAGAGACACTTCTGCATCTGAATGTGATCTGGTCTATTCAATTCTTTCTCTTTTGCCTCAGGTTACTAGTAATGACAAGACTCCCACTGTAATCAGTTCTGCATTAGAGAAGCACAACCAAGACCCTCGAGAGGCCTCCAAATACGAGCTCATCCAACTGCTTCCAGACGGAAAAGGTACACTCACACCTTTTCCTTTTCCTTTACATACTTTCCGTTTAACGTTCGGGAAGATAGTTTAGCGAAATGTATAAATATGGCAAATATGCTAACTCCATGCTTTCCTGCGCTGTTAGTGTCCAGCCATTGTTGACCACTTAACCAGAGTATCGCTTTAATGACTGCAGTGGAAACTCAGGGAGGCCTTTTATTCTTCTGGGTGTTTATTCCATAACCGCGCTTCTTGGTATTACGAGCTCTTCCCATTTTTCCCAACGGACAGAGTTGACAATACCCGCCACAGGAAATGTCTTCTATGCCATGACCTCAGCCAGCACGGACTTCCTGCTCAGAAGACGAGGGGGAAACACACCAGTGGGCTCGCCGTCTCTCAACGAAACCAGCGCAACTTTTCCACGGATCAAGGCCAAGGGCCGGAGACTCGTCCGAACACTCTTTTAACACCAGTCAAAACAATACTTACGCTAGTCTACATGCTTCAATACAATACAATACAAATGTGAAGGTAAAGCTAAATGGCAGTACATTTTCTCGTCAAGTCTTAAAGCTTAAAGGTTCCATTCTACTTCAGACATATATGTGAGAGCAACCAGCTACATACTGAAGGAGCTGTTCATACAGAAATGTAGACAGTTTTTCCCCTACCTGAAATGTATTCAATCAGCCAAGGCATGTGTGGTGTCCTCTGTTTGCTTCCTGGGCTTTGCATTGCAGCTGCAAGGCTAATGTAGCTAATGGAAGCTTAAGCGCCAACAGTTAGCATGGTGCATGAATATCATCGCAAATTTGCCTCAAACAGTATCTAGGAATCTCAAATAGACTTGCTTACATGCATCATGAAACCTGTTCATGCTTCTGTTTGTTAGCGACATTAGCATCTGCAGCTGCCAATGAATCAAACTTCAGACACCAAATGTGGCTTTGCTAAACGTTTGGGTGAGGGAAAAGTTGTGTAAATTAGATTTTTCACAAAACTATTCTGTTCATATGAAGCTTAGGTTGGATTTTCTCTCAGATGTTGGCTAAGCCTCGCTCAACACTGCACTAATTTTTCCGCATTTCAAAGGTTCAACCTGTTTCAACTAAGACAATGATGAGGACAGTGACGTTGCCAACTTCATGGCTTTTTCAGGTTCCCGTCTACCTCTAAAGAATTACAGTTAACGTCAGTTCAAGCAAATCCATAAAAAGGCTGCATTATCAGTGAACCGTGGATGATGCGCTAACAAAACACAACACAACAAAATGACGTGTAGCACTTAAGGGTACTTACCATACAGGTTAAAACATGTCTTACAGTGAACTGTTAACTGTGGGAATCTGGGTCAACATGAAGACTGACTTACTTTGAAGGAATAGTTCTGTCAAAAAAGCTAATGTTGCTAACAACCAATGAAAACGAACAGCCATCTGTTAGCATAATGTGAAAGATAGCATGCTAATTAGCGGCTACTAGCTTTCGTTCACTATTAGGTCTATGTTAGCATGGATGGTTGAGCTGTTTCCTCAAAGTAACAAGAAGAATCAACCCGTATAATATGAATACACTGCCAATCTTGTACTTTCTCACCAAGTATGCAAACAGACGATGTCACACGTGGTTCTGACTGTCGTTTCACAGAGCTGCGGATGTGGTTAGGCTGCCGTTTTTGTCACTTACAAACCTTCTTTTTCTTTTTTTACTCGTAATAACCCACGAACACTGTCCAATATCAATTCACTTCTTATGGTCTCATAGGTGGTTAAAGCGACAGTTCAGGAAATATTGACACAAATTTCTCCCTTAACGCACGTCGTCCATCAGCCAGGACATATTTGGTGGTGTTTGGTTCTGCACTGGAGCTACGAGGCTAAGCAATGTAGAATAGATTTGCTTAAAACAGGCGTCTTCATCTGCTTCAGGGCAACATACTTCCGTCCTAGGGGTGGACGATATGGCAAAGTACAGGGTGTCCGAAAAAAATGGACATCATTTGAGATGTGAATATCTGAGTAACTACATGTCCTGGGCAAACGAAATTAAATAGGCTTCATGTTGAACAATACGAGATCTATTTATCAAAATTCGAACAAGAAATTCAGAGGGATGTAGATTTTATAACCGATTTCACAAAGTGTTACAAATGTAATATCTTCCGATACTGGTGGTCGTCCGGATCCCTTTGCCCTGCAGACAGCCTTCCTCTTTGAATTTTTTGTGTCATGCCCAAATCTGCTTTCCAGTTGGTGCATTTTTATAGAATTTTCTCGAAAATGCACGCTGCACACTCTTGTTTGACTGTGTTCGAGCATATTCTAACACAAAATGCCTTTTCATTTCTAGTGAACGCCATTCTTCAACCTGAAAAAATAAACATTAAAAATTAAACTTGGTTAGTTTTTACACATTTTGTTAGAATTTGAGTTCATTTGAGGGAGAATTGGCTGTTATTAGACTACAAAATGAAGCCAATTTTTTTGGGACACCCTTTATTATATCACAATACTTCAAGACATTTTCATGATACCCAAGTACACCTAAATCCAGTTATATGGGTATAATTGGATTTAGGTGTACTAATTATGCTGAGTTTCTAATGAAAAATGTAGTCATGATATGCTATTTTGTCCATTTTTCTAGATAGCAGTGTCTTATACAGCACAATGTTTTAGACATGCCGTTAGCGCAGTGCTAATTGGCGTGGCTAAAGGTTCTATTCCTTTTTAGCTACGTTAGCTGCAAGACCAGAATGAAAACACGTCTTGGCTGATCAGCTACTTGATTTAAGGGGGAAAAAAATGTGTACATTCGATTTTTTTCCCAAACTGTCACTTTAAGATCAGTCTTTTCTAGAGTAGTTGAAGCAAACGTTAGGCTGCACGGCTGTTAAACGCGACACACACGTTTACCGTTCACGGAAAAGCAACACTTCATTAAGTAATTTGCTTTTAAAACTGAACATGTCAGACTATTAACTCCATAGCCACAACACAAATAGGTGTACAGTAAGGAAATCTTTGGTCATAGCTTTAAAACAGCAGCTCCTGTGAACCCTATACTAGCACACAGCATCTCATAGTGCTTTTGAAGTCTCATGTGGACTGAGGCGCTGAAGGTGTGGGTGCTGGGGAGAGGAGCTGTTTCTCTTTGGTTTGGAAGTTTCCAGCATTCGTGGTGAAGTGCCTTGTTATCGGTGCTCTTGCTTCTCTGCAAATATAACGCAAGTGTGTTCTGCTGTGTTGCTCAGGATAAGCTAATGTTGTACATTCAGTCCTGTATAGTCGAAGCTGAATTCTGACATGTTTATGCACTATATATGCCACCTATTCTTGTATGCAATAAATTTTCATTTTGATATATATTGGCTTGAGAATTGGTCATTGCGCTCCAGAACTGGGAAGTCAATGCTCTGACCTCAGAATGATTCAGTTTAGTATTATTTTTTAAAAATAGGATGTGAATTTAAGCCAAAAGGATGTGTGCATACTTTACTGCACATTATTATCAATTCTACCATTTGATGCATTTTCACAGCCCTTTCAAGACAATACCAGCGCTGTCAGAACAAAAACTTGTGTTTTTGACAAGTAGTTTTGGACCATTTCTATTGGTCAGTTCATCATAAAACAATGCAAAGGGTAACAGTTTTCACATTTAAAAATGACAAAAATGTTTTTTTTTTCCTGACAGCGATAGCATGTAAAAACATTACAAGGCCAATTTTGTAGTCCACCAAACAAATTTCTAGCTAACAGTGTCGTTTGGTCAGAAACTGACCACTGATAAAGGATTAGAGGATGACAGAGCAGCAACAGATGAGCTATCGTCTCTACTAACTTTACATCTACGAAGTTAGATGTGTCTAACAGAGTGGACAGTAAGTGGATACAGTGCTTACAAACTACAGCAGCACTGCTCTATCTGATCCACTCATACCAGCACAACACACTAACACTCGCTGCAGTACTGAGAATGATCCATTTGCTCTGTGGGGGTCCTGATCATTGAAGAACAGGATAAAAGTGGGGCTAAGTATGCAAAGAAACAGATGGACTACAGTCTGTAGTTGTAGAACTACAAAGTGCACCTATGTGGTAAGTGTAGCTGATAAAATGGACAATGTGTGTAGATACAAGGTACCTAATAAAGTGGACAATAAGTATATAATCATGTAAGTTTATAAGTGTCATCAACATGAAATGCTTATAGTGTACAGTGAAGTCCAGAAGTGCCTGGACAGTGGCACAATTATTACTGTTGTAGTTCCAGGCTCCAGCACACTGGAGTAGGCATTAAATAACTGTGGTTGAAGTTCAGCATACTTACACAAAGCCAAAAGAAGCTGATCAGACAAAGGACCTCATTTTCACCCCTACCCCTTGTTTTTTAGTGCCACCTTGCCCCTTGGAACTGAGTTACCTCAAATAAAGAAGAGCATTACTTCATTAACAGGCTACTAGCGGTGCTCTGCCTACAGAGGGGGGTAAAGCTCAGCAACCTCACTGCTGGTCTTTAGTTACATTTAGCACATCATATGCCTTCAAAGAGGGACATTTATTATTGCACACCCCTAATTCTTCAGTGATATGAAGCTGAAGTCAACTATTCATCAGCCTCTTGTTCTAATTTTCCCGTCCCACCTTAAATGGTGCAGCAGTTATATTCTGGCGCTTCAGGCATCAAAACTGCTGGAGTATTTAAGGTGGAATGGGAAATTTAGCTAGCTAGCTACCAAAATATTAGCATGCTATTAGCGATTTTTATGCTTGTTATAAAGAAAACAACCATAATACATTGAAACGACATAAAACTAAGAGAATACAGTGGTTATAGAAATTTTGAACAGAGAAAATACTCACATTGTGTTTTTTTCTCATAACACTCTGAAAAACCTCTGTTTGGAGGGCCATGTAGCCCTAATACTTCACCCTACTCCTCTATCTCAACAAGAATCGGGGCACCCTGCCCCAGGAGTGAACGTGCAAAACAGAGGGCTAAGGGTGAAATGGGACCGGGCCAAAGTGTGTCTAACTGAGGCCCCAAGAAGTATTTGGACATTTGTGACAAACTTAAAAAGGTAAGTTCATGGTGTTAGCGAAGGTCACAGACGTCTGCAGGTTTGCATATGAAATGCTTCTGTACACTTCAGAGTTCATCCCATCAACATCATAAGACCAACAACCCCAGACGTTGACATTTCCTTAGTGCAGAAGTCTTATATTGCACCTCAGTGTCACTGCTGGACTGAGAATAGTCCACCAACCAAAAATATCCAGCCAACAGCGTCCTGTGGGCAGCGTCCTGTGACCACTGTTGAAGGACTAGAGGATGACCAACACAAACTGGGCAGCAGCAGATGAGCTATCGTCTCTGATTTTACATCTACAAGGTGGACTGACAAGGTAGGAGTGTCTAATAGAGTGGACAGTGGGTGGACACAGTGTTTAAAAACTCCAGCAGCACTGCTGTGTCTGATCCACTCAGACCAGCACAACACACACTAACACACCACCACCACATCAGTGTTATAGCAGTGCTGAGAATGATCCACCACCCAAATAGTACCTGCTCTGTGAGGGTCCATGGGGGTCCTGACCACTGAAGAACAGGGTAAAAGGGGGCTAACAAAGTATGCAGAGAAACAGATGGACTACAGTCTGTAACTGTAGAACTACAAAGTGCACCTATATAGTAAGTGGAGCTGATAAAATGGACAATGAGTGTAGAAACAAGGAGGTGGTCATAATGTTAGGCCTGATTGGTGTAAATGTGTAGGGGGTTCACAGTGTGAAGTCACTGAAAATTTGTTATTTTATATGTTCTTCACAGAAAATGAGCAAAGGCCACAAATCTGGGGTTGAAATAATAATAAATAGCATAATATATATTTTTTTTTTGGTAAACCTTGAAAATGGGTCCCACAGACCTCAACACCACACAAGAGTTAAATCAGATTTTTTGCCTCATTACTCCTCTAAGCATATTTGCAGTTATATTTGGTAAACAATATAGCAGTTCTATTTCAATTCAAATCAAATGTGCTGCTGTGCAGCAGAAAAACAGTCAGTGTTCAGCACTTACAGACTTAATTGAAGGAAAATATACACAGATGCATTTTTAAAAATATTTATTGTCTTGCATGAAACAAAAAAAAGCCATCAGGATAAAATTTAAGCTTGATGATAGAAACGTAACTAAGCTCAGTTCTGAACACTGAAAGCAAACTGAAACATGCAGTTTTCCATGAGGTGTGCAGTAGCGAAGGAAAATGACTCATTCCTACAGATACTTTGAGTGTAAGGTAAAAAGCTTTCATTCTGTCATGAACATGCAACCCACAGAGCCCGAGGGGAAGCTCTGTTATAGTCTCTCCATTCATCTGACATGAGTGTAATGAAAAAAGTGCATCTCCAGTCCTCATATACAGTTGCAATTCCCCAAAAATGAAGGACTTAGCTGATCCTATCCATTGGATAGGGTTAAAGACTTTGGGCCTCATTCACCAACAGTTCCTAAGAAGAAATTAATTCTTAAAACCTACATATGCAGCTTTCACAAATATTCTGACCTTCACCAGTGTTTTCTTATTTGGGATTTGTTCTTAGGTAAGAACAGAATCTACACACACTCAAGAGCACAAAGGTGTGAACAGTTCTGTGGTTTAAGAACACATCATGACTCTGAGGTACTTTTTCTTAGGACCTAGAAAAGACGTAGGAACATACTGGTGAATGAGGCCCAATGCTTCCTACTAATGTGCAAATAAGCCATCTGAAGTTTTAGATTAACACATATGGAATTAGACAGCCTTGATTAAAACACGTACCACGCCAAACACAGAAATGTAGACCCAAACCTACAGACAGTACCATAAAAATCTGATCATGAATCTCCAGTGTTTAACAGGTATACTGCAATATATGATCAGAATATCATCTGAGACACAACAGCAGTACATCTTTTACCTTAGAAGTGCATTAAAAACGTCTTAAAATCTTGATCCCATTAAAAAAAGTACAAAAACAGCAATGGTTTAATGCATTACATACACAACAGATGCATTACCTTATATTCTATACAGCATTGTTATTGTGCTTTCATTGGGCTGAACCTATTCAGCAAATACACCTGAGTACCTCATTACTAGAACCGCAACAGATCCCATTCATTTTCTAAGGGAAGTGTTGTGGTTATGATAAGCAGGTGCACTGTTCATGATGGAAGTGTCGAATTTGGGGGACGTGGTGCGTCAGAAAAGTTCTGCTAATTATTCTACCCAACCGACACGTTGGAAAGTATAAGCTTCATGATGAATACTATGTAGACTTAATGGGAATTCAAATAAAGCATTGATTACATAAACACTGACTTAGCAGGATCCCATTTCGGGCGATCCCAACGGACCAATGCAAAAGCAGCAAAAAGCCAAAAATAAACCCCAAGCAAGTATACAAATGCAACTGATCTGGCTTGTTATACACACTCAGCATGTGTTCTTATGTTACAGTGGAGGTTCTAAAGCTTATTAATCAGTATGTAAAGCTGAGTACTACAAATTGCTATTGGTCTTATGCAATGGCATCTTCTGCAGACCTTCCATTTCAATAAATCTAAGTTATGAGAACTTTTGAATGGAAAAAACATGCTCAGAAGTCTCGAAGTACTGCAGTGCTATTTGCAACGACAATCATTATTACTTCATAAATTCAAAGTACAGTCTGGTCAGCAGGTTCACGTTTGTAAGTCTGAATTCTGAACGACAGGTTTACAGTTAATTAGTATGAGCGGTCTCACTTTATTTGGATAGTCCATTGTAGTCCCCTATAGATTACCTACAGATGTTCAAACTATCTGTTGAGGTTTTGGGTTTAGGTTTTGGGTTGAGGTTAGGGTTAGGGTTAGGATTAGAGCCAGATTTAGAGTTAAAGAAAGTTATGGTCAAGTATCAACAAAGCATCTAAAGTGGACTATCCAAATAAAGTGTTATCATATGGGCTACTTTAGCTATTTTGCATAGGAGACAAAGAAAAAACTAAACAGAGAGTGAAGAGTGGCTGCTGAATCGCTCTGAGGAAAGAAGAAGAGCAGCTATGTCAGAAACCGTGCTCTATTCTCTATATAGTGCATTTTTTCAGGCTGTGTGCAAACTATACCCTATTCACTATAAAGTGCACTATACTGGACCATGTCAGAAAGTATACCCTATTCACTATAAAGTGCACTATTCTGGACCATGTCAGAAACTATACCCTATTCACTATATAGTGCACTATTCTGGACCATGTCAGAAACTATACCCTATTCACTATATAGTGCACTATTCTGGACCATGTCAGAAAGTATACTCTATTCACTATATAGTGCACTATTCTGGACCATGTCAGAAACTATACTCTATTCACTATATAGTGCACTATTCTGGACCATGTCAGAAACTATACCCTATTCACTATATAGTGCACTATTCTGGACCATGTCAGAAACTATACCCTATTCACCATATAGTGCACTATTCTGGACCATGTCAGAAACTATACCCTATTCACCATATAGTGCACTATTCTGGACCATGTCAGAAACTATACTCTATGCACCATATAGTGCACTATTCTGGACCATGTCAGAAACTATACTCTATTCACTATATAGTGCACTATTCTGGACCATGTCAGAAACTATACCCTATTCACTATATAGTGCACTATTCTGGACCATGTCAGAAACTATACCCTATTCACTATATAGTGCACTATTCTGGACCATGTCAGAAAGTATACCCTATTCACCATATAGTGCACTATTCTGGACCATGTCAGAAACTATACCCTATTCACTATATAGTGCACTATTCTGGACCATGTCAGAAACTATACCCTATTCACTATATAGTGCACTATTCTGGACCATGTCAGAAACTATACCCTATTCACCATATAGTGCACTATTCTGGACCATGTCAGAAACTATACCCTATTCACCATATAGTGCACTATTCTGGACCATGTCAGAAACTATACCCTATTCACTATAAAGTGCACTATTCTGGACCATGTCAGAAACTATACTCTATTCACTATATAGTGCACTATTCTGGACCATGTCAGAAACTATACCCTATTCACTATATAGTGCACTATTCTGGACCATGTCAGAAACTATACCCTATTCACTATATAGTGCACTATTCTGGACCATGTCAGAAACTACACCCTATTCACTATATAGTGCACTATTATGAGTTATATTAGAAATGATACCCTATTTACTATATAGTGCACTATGCTGAACTATGTCAGAAACTACGTTGCGCAAAATAAAAATAATAAACAGATAAATAGCAGAAAAAAGGACATAGCTTAAGATGCACTGTAAAGTAAATAGTTTCTGGCATAGTTTCTGATGTAGCCTCTTTCCACATGACAGTTTGTAACGCGGAGTGGTTGCATTTGCATACTTGCATGTGGTATGTTTCTGGCCTAAGACTTAATACAGAGCCGCCTCACACTCCTCAACTGACCCACTACACGAGTCACACTTAAGCGCTGCTGTCCGATACGCCTTCCACACCACGCTGTTCTGGTGACACACCGTCCCCCCACCTCTCTTCTCCTCTGCCTCGTTCCGGTTAATGTCCCCCACGCACACCCAGCTGCCGGACACACTCACTGCCCATTTGGAGTGGTCCTCCGTGGTCTTGAAGGTCAGCTGCTGGCCGGGAGAAAGCAGGTAAATGTTCAGCACTTTATAGGCGGGGGAACAGTCAGACTCCAGGACGCCTTTGGAGCGTTGCCAGAACTGCACCAGCAGGTCCGCCTGCAGTGCAGGAGCCACCCACGAGTGATACAAGTCTGAACAAGATCACAGAACAGCTCAGTTCAACACCTGTCACTGAGTACACTGACACACAGAGCTTGGACAAAAAAAATCACTTTCAGTAATTTTTTTACGAACATAAGGACTACACTTGGCATTACATCAAGTCTCTCAAATTAATGTTCACATGGTTTTGCTAGTTCTTTGAATTGCTGTCCAGTGAGCACTTAAACACTATACTCATTATTCATTTAGTACTCATTCCTAGTTATTATTAAGTGACTGCTACAAATTAATGAACAACTATGACAATAATGTCAGCCCCTCTATCAATTTGCTATCACAAACTGTATACCTTCAAAATATTTGCAAAAGCTCATCATTTTATTTGCATTAGTTCCACATGACTCATGAATACCATATAAGTTCTTTCACAATGTAATGGAGAAGGTGTAAAGCGTTGTATCCCCTCTTGATACTCGACATGGAGAGTGATTACAAATTGCTTGTTTAATGTCTCATGTAAACTTGACATAGTTCCACATGGCAGACGTGCCTCTGTCGTCGCTTAAACAGTGTTTTCAATCACCGGTTCTTGTTGTCATTATCATTTGGACTGTGTTATATTTTGACATTTTGTTGTAATCATATTTAACTAATCCTTTGGGTTTTTGGCCAAAATTTTTAACCCCTTTACACTCAAAAACTGACAATTTTTGAAAGAAATGTTTCGGTGGCCAAAATTTCAGTGCATCCCTATTATGTAGTTATGAGAGTGAAGAACTGAAGCGCAGGCTGACAAACTTTTAGGTTTAAGGCCAGCTTTACAGAGTGAAACTTGTTGCCTGCAACATAATTTCTGTGCAACTTGACAGTTAAACAAAGCAAGACAAATAAACATATTTATGACTTTAACAGACAGCTAAAATATGTTTAAGCCTTTCAAAATTACAGTTTAAGTTGCCATTATGGTTATAGCCCACTTGATACCTCACTCATCCTGTCCTAGGAGCACAAGTTCAGCATGGACCACATCTCACTCATGCCTTCTGTAACAGCTTTTAACATCCGGATCCCAAAGCTCTGCGTAAAATCAGTGCAAAACTTTTTCCACAAAGTTGAGATGCTTGCAACTTTCGTGGCTGAGTTTCAAGTGAGTTGCAGGATGCTTTACAAATTGCAGCTCAAATGCAATTTAGTTTCATGCAGGTTTCAAGCAACTAAAGCTGCACGAAAGTTTTACTGTGTAAAGCCAGCCAAAGGGGTTCATTCAACTTGACCAATACTAAATTAACTTACAAAAATACTGCCTCTACATTTTCTCACTGATTCCTCCTGTTCTTTCTCCCAGTGGGTGGTGCCGGTGATGTTTTCTTGCAAACTCACAGTGAACTCTTACCATTCTCAAAAGCAGCTCCTTTAGCAAAGCTGATGAACTCCTTTCCAGCCAGCGAAAGCAGGGAGGCACTCCGATTGGCAGGCGAGGAGGAAGCGAGTGGGACGCTGGAGTTGCTCCGCCCCCCATGGCCGTGTTTACACAGCTCCACCATGGTGGGCACAGAGGAGGCCACAGACTCAGGGATGTTACAGTCGTAGATGTGTGGCTGGTTTATTTTCAACTGCTCACCTGTGGAACACATTAGGCCTTTTACAAAGAGCATGTGTGTTTTGATCATTCACTCCAGACACATGATAGAACAGATTATGTAATAAGCAAATGGTTCTTGACATTGAAGCTGCAGATGGGTCAACTTTATCACAGCTGGTTTGAATATTCAAAGCAGAGGGCAGCATTTGTTTGTGGAGGAGTTTTATAGATGGCGTTTACTAATTATTCCGCTTTTGTAACTCAGGTTCTGTTCAGAAGCTCCATATCCTGCAATTTTCTTCTTTTTTTATTCTCTTATTTTTTTCTCCTTGTACTTTTACCCGCTTATAATGTTTGTGTGCTTTTATGAAAGATGACTGTTTTTGTTACATTTTTAAAAACATTTCCAACCTCTCTTTATATCCTGAATTAAACAGGCTGTTTTTGTTAGTGTCTTTAAGACTAATATATGTAAATAACCTTTATTCTGATTGGCTGTCTGCCTCCTAAAATAAGTAGTTTAGGCTGAATTGTGGAAGAAACCATTAAGAATGGACTAAAACCCTCAGGGACGTCTGACAAAAACTTCAATGGCTCCTTTCGGATGCGTGGATCCCCTAAAGGACTGCAATTATCTATTTGCTTCCTGACAGCCATGAACAGCACAACATTTAATCATCTCCCCCGCATCGTCCTGTTCAATAACTTTGCCCCAGACTGCAGTAACAACACTTCGCATCACTTCATTGTGAATGGGCTGACTAAACTGCTACAGTAGCTTGTTTGACAGAGAAAAAAGAAATCAAACTATGTAAATATGCAGAAAGCAATGCTTTTTAATGACAAAAAAAGCAACAGTCATCAATATCACTGTGTTAGTGCTTACTGGAGTTTGTGCTTATTCTTGAGGTTTATGTATGTATGATTAATTTCCTCCAGTGACCAACACTATTTTTTATGTGGTTGACACCACAAGCGTCACATAGAAAACAAAAGTGACCTGAAAAAGGACCGAAGGGGTCCAACTCTATCAGACGGCTGTTGTATTTGGCTAGAAGCTTGAGCCTGATTGGTCCAAGAGCTGTTTATGAACTCAACCTGCCCCACTGAAGGTTAGGCCTGCAACATAAGATGCCATGATGATATAGCTTAAAAAGTGATCCATCATCATGAGACGCCGGCACATTTAGAATCTTAAACAAAGGCTTTTATTTTCCGCTGCAGGGCCGAACAGTTCTGAGCTCAGTGGGTAACCGCTCCAGTGCCATTTCCACACGGACACAGTTCAACATGGAACGCGTACAAACTGTGCTCAGTGCCTTTTTTTCGACTTGGTTAGCTACTCATGCTAAATGCCACAGAACCATTCACTGGGATGACATAATGACGTAGCCATTCACTGACTAGCTCTACGTTTATTAGTTCTACCATTCAATAAGTGTCAAACCATCAATCCAACAACAACAACTGCTAAATGTTAACTGGCACTGTAAAAAAAAAGCGAGAGAAGAGCTGGTTAGCATTAGCTTAGCTAGCTTGCAACCAGCTCTGCTCACTTCAGAACAGATTTGATTCTAAATAACAGAAACTGACACACAAGTTTAGATGATAACGTCTCAAGTCTATGAAAGCGAAATCCGTGACACTGAGCCAAAATTAAACCTGTTTCATGATGTTTGAATCTGTAGCCTCCAAGCTAGGCTAGGCTAACAGTCCTCTCTCCTTGTTACCTTAGGTAGTGGCCCACAGATCTGATTCTGACTAACTGGTGCTCTGCTGTCAAGTGTAGGCGATAAAATCTCATGTATTTAAGAGTGAAGTTGTGTGACTGGTGTTGGAGAGACAGAAAGCTGAAATCAAAGCTGTATTGTTTGAGAAAGGCCCACGCTACCGAAGTTAAGAGGCTAAAGGTGCCACCCACCACAGCACATGCTTGGTTCCAGCTAACTAATACTCAAATAACAATCGTTTAGAGCAGGGCTAGCAAACTGTGGTTTTGGAGGGCCGGTGTGCAGCACAGTTTGGTGATTTTCCTGCCCACTTCACCTCACAATTAACCGCTGAGTGGAATCAAGTGCCTTTGGTTAGGAAAACCACCAAACTGTGCTGGACTCCGACCCTCCAGGACTGGAGTCCACCCCCCTGGTTTAGAGGATAAATACTCCAAGAGCACAAAGTTGAGTGACTGGTGTTGGAGTGACCAGAATCGAAGGTGTTCTGTAGCTATAAGTCTGTTAGCTTTGGTGAGCCACTCTCGTGTGTAGTTTCCTTCAGTATTTCTTGGTTCATATTTAGCAGCCCAGCAGAAAGAAAAAGAAACCGCAACTGGTCTCACATGTCCACACACCCTGAGAACCAGTTGGCTCTACAGTGGAAAAGAGGCTAATGTTTACATAGCCTATCAAACTCTTCTGATTGGAAAAAAAAAAATAAAATAAAATAAAAAATTCAGTATTTATTTATGTATTTTTTTTTAATTGTAGGCACTGGTGGATTCGCTAACAAAAAATTGACATATCTATGGTTCTGGACTGCTGCAATCTCCTGTATTTGCTGGCCCAGCCAGAAGGCTACATGGACACATCTGCTGAGATCAGACATAAAATCCCAACAAATGACTGTCACGGCAACAAAAAGAAGTGCAGCTGTGAAGTGTCATCGGCATAATGACACTCACCTGATGAGAAAGCCATAACCTACGGCTCGGTGAGAACGGCACAGTCACTATGGTTACTGTGCCAGATAGATGGATTACTCTTGCCGTAACTATGGCAACTGCACCCTATGCATGATTTGCTCTTAAAGCATAAGTGATCAATGCGGAGGCTTCCATGGTGCGTTGTCTCATGATTCTCTAGACACAAACAGACAGGGCGAATAAAAAGGTGGCATGCATTTTAAGCAGCATCATCAATTTCACGCCCAGCTGATTCACACATATGCATTCAGAGAGCACAGTAGTCTAATGTTTGAGACACATGACAGATGTTTTAAAGTTTGTCTCTAAAGTGTTCAGGTCTTTATAGCAAAAAGTTTGCCGAAAAATCCAATTCATAAATTCCCCTGGCCCCCAGGCCCTTTTACCCCAAATGCAGCTGATCGTCAAGAACACGTTTTGTATCTGAAGTTTGCTCCTTTTTGCACTGGAGCTTCGAAGCTAATGCAGCTAACAAGCTCAACCCATCACACGCTGCGTCAAGTTGTTAGATAATCTCAAACAGACTTGCTTATGTAGTTTCTGACACTGTACGACATACCGTTCACTATAAAAATGGATAAAAGTATGTCACATTTTTATGCCAGAACCCATATAAGAATGTCTATTTGAGATTACTCAGCAACTCAACATGGTTCAAGGCAACTGTGTGATGATTTAGGCATGAACTTTGGTTGTAAGCTTCCATTATTTGCTAGCTACATTAGTCTCGTAGTTTCAGTGAAAACTTTGGACACCAAATGTCTTGGCTGACTGACTACATTTTAGGTAAAAGGAAAATCGTGTACTTTAGATTTCTTGAAGCTCCAATTTCTTACCTATGGTCTCAAAGCGCTCCAGAGGGTAGGTAACACAGATGAAGTTTTGCCCGTTACTGATGCCGCTGCTGGGGTACGAGAAGCTGCCCGCTGTCTTGGGAGGCGGGAAGTGAGGAGTGCTGTGGACCAGCCAGAAGCCTTGCCTGCTGTCGAAGAGGACCATACCTGCACAGAGAACAAATGCAAGTGAGGAGCACATCGGCATGGTTTAGTTTAATGAGCTGTAAAAAAGCAAAAATAGACAAATGCAATCTAAAAATCCAGCAACCAAAAATTATCTTCACATTACCAGGTTGAAGTGGCACAAATCAGATTTTTTGCCCTAATGTGAATCAGATCTGATGTTTTCAGGGCTGTGTGGACACACAAATCTGACCAGAGCCACTTTCATATGTGGTTCTAGGTCGGATATGTATATGATTTGTGGCCATGCGGCCTTAATGTGATGCTCAGATCGGAATTCATGTTTTTTTCCACTGCCAAACAGAAGTTAAAGGCTGTAAATGGTGGAAAAGCAGCACGTGTCACCTTTTCACTTTCATCTAGCTCTAATAATGAAGCTGAGAGCTGATCAGAGTTAATTATCTTCACAGTGAAGCTCGTTCTGCTCGTTAGTTTGTACTGATGAATTAATGACAGATTTGAATCACTTACCTAAACAAGCGTGAACCATCATGTCAGAAAGATCAGATTTGAGCAAAAAATCGGATTTGAGCAACGAGGCTTGTAATGAGAAAGTTAGACATACTGTAAAGTAAGAGTTTGAAGGGCCCATATCACCGAAATCAAATTTGTTTGATTTCCTTGAGTTTGATGTAGTATGTAAACAGTGTTAGAGCTTCAAAAGTTCACTCCCCAGTCAAACCAATCAAGTCCATATTTGGAAACTGTGTCATAAAATTAACCTGTTTTGGATTCACTGCTTTCATGACGTCACAAAAACAGACTTACAACATTCAGTTGATCCCCAACCATTCATCAAAACAGTCTTAAAGGCACAGTAACAAAAACAGCATGTTTATTTCTAAAGGACTGAGAGAGATTGGTAAATGGTCATGGACAAATTCACTATGACTGTTTTTGGTACACAAATCATAAGTAGACCTCAAAGGGAAACAATAAAAAGCAAGAAAAACGTATGCTACGAGCCCTTTAAAAACACATGACCATTTACAAACCCCTCTGTATTCCTCAGAATTAGATATGCTTTTTTGTTACTGTACCTTTACGACAGACATATGTTAATGGCCTTTGTTCTTGCTCAATAATATTGCATTTTGCTCAAAATAGCAAACTGGGCTTATACACTGGCACATCGACCTGAACGGGCAGCTGCCACAGGATTAATGGACATCGTGTAAATGTAGGCATGGCTGTGACATCACAACTATGATGAATTTACAATGTTTTTGCAGCTTAGTGCCTATAGATCAGGGGTGTCATTCACAACGAGCAGGAGCTCCTGATTCCACTTGTTTAAATAACATGGATCATGTGCAGTCCTGCTTTGTTGGAATGAAAACCTGCAGCCACGCCGGCCCTTTGTGGATAAGATTGGACATCCCTGCTATGTATGGACTCTATTTACTGGGGGGCAAACAATAAGCTTAACAGTGTCTACATAGTTCATAAAACTCTGTCCAGATATGACCCCTTTAATAAATACACTTAAAGAACCAGTATCATATCATCCACTCCCCTGTGCATACAGTCCATATACGGAACCTACACTGTAAAAACAGCCCATACTGAAGTCCCTGTTTTTGTGATGTCACCAGAACCAACACATTTACACATAATGGCCTGTTCAGTCTACAGCATTTTAGCTCCACCCAAACCTGCTGAAGCTATAAGCATTTCAGCCTGAATGAAGCACAAGACAGAGCAGTCAGTTGGAACAAAGAACATTCACATATATCAGTCCTACAGGCACAGTAACAAAAACAGCATGTTTTATTCTAAAGGATAAAGAGAGGCTAAAAATAATGATGTAAAAATTAACAACGACTGTATTTGGAACATAAACTCACACAAATGTTAAGTGGAGCTCAGGGGGAAGAATAAAATACCAGAAAAATGCAGGACATGGGCTTTTTAAGACGTGAAAAGAGGTACTGCTAGTGTGTGTCAGAAGTCTATAGCAAAAACCGCAACGCTCGGTATCTCCCCTCACCTTTCGTGTGTCCTCCGCTACTATATGCGTTTTCCGAACGGTGCTCTTCCGGAGGTTGATCGTTGTACACGATGTAGCCGAGTTCACCTTCCTACAAAACAGAATAGTCATTTTCCACCAACGCACACCTTGCATTACCCCTTACGCCCAGCAAACACCTTTCTGAAACACTTGTGATGAGTTTGCGCTTAAAAAACCTTCACATTCTGAAATGAGATCTGCTGGAATCTATGAACAAACACAGTTTTTTGAGGAGCTGAAACTGTCAACAACCTTCACTGGTTTTTGCAGCTGCGAAAAAGAGATTGATTTGTCTCTCATGCGTGCAGCTGCAGAAACCAGACAGCTGAATAGGCAAAAATACTCTCAAGTAAGGGCCTGAAACAAAGCCTTCCATCAAAATTTCAGTTCTGCAAAGGGGATATAAGACATTTGCACATCAGCAAATTTAGAATTGGGGAATAAAGACAAAACTGAAACCAATTACTGCTTGCTGAATTGTCAGTCTAAACGCCACGGTGGGAACTCTTATTGCAAGCTGTGCACTAACATCTATGAGTACCTCATAAAGCGGCCCAACGGTCCTCCCCAGAGCCCCTGTGATCTCTCCCACCAGCACGCTGCCGTCCACCCATCCTTCACTCTTCTCCTCCAGCAGAAGGTACTTCAGGCCCTCCTCGGTGGGCTGTTCATGTAAGCGGGGGAGTTTGTAAAGGTAGAACCTAAAGAATGGGGGCACACAAGATGGTTTTGACACTGAATCGCTGCTCTGACTATGAAAGGCATACAATTTCAAATGAGAACCTTCTTTAACACCATTCAGTCAGTGACATGGCTTTATCTGGTCTGTGTGCATGTGTGAATTTGTGCAAGAAGCACTTAATTATGACTCAAAACCCTGCATTCAGGATTGTGGATTACTGTCAGCTATAATCTGACAGGCTTTTTGAGGGGATAAACTGTAGAAACTAACAATATTTATGACAACCAACCAGTCAACAGCGTTTCCTTGGTCATCGTAGCAGGACAGTGTGGAGTTGGCGCCCTCTGCTGGCTGAAGCAGGAAGAGCAGAATGGCCAGGAACATGCTGAGGGAAAGCAAGAAATGAGGAAAAATAGACATTTTGACACTGACACTGACCAGAAACGACCCAGCTTTGGGAAATTAACCAGTTACGAGTTACAAATCAATTAATTACAAGCTAACTTAATTCAAATTCGTTTGCAGCAACAACAACACTGCAGCAGCAATAGTTTCCTAGCTAACTAGTTAGGTTAGCAACCGTCGTCTCTCCTTTAGACACAACTTTGACCACTTTAAAGCTCTTCCAAAGCAAGAAAAAGACAAATAACGCACCAGTAATGACCTAACTGGACTGATATCTTTGCCTTTAGGGAACTAACTTTACTTCATGAAGCTAATTTTAAGTTTATAACTAGGCTATAGAGCCCAAAACAGACCACAACATGCTAGTTAGTAGCGCTCCTGTTGGACCTACCTTGCCGAGCTGAGCTGAGCTGCCGTAGACTGAGATTCAGCAGCGGCTGCAGTGACAGCAGGTTTACTCAGACGCTTCACTGCTGAACTGAACTTCATTCGAAACTCAGCCGCCTCTCAACCTCATGTCGTTTCATTTCCACATACAGAAGGCGTTTCCAATCAGCTGCTCAGCTCAGGAGGGAAAGGGCGCCCCCTCTGGTTAATCTGTAGGCCTAATACGGCCCGTATCATACATTCATCTTCTGTTTTATATTTTATATATTTTAATATTTATTTTGTATGATGTATATTTATATTTTATGATACATTTTATAGCATATATACAATTTCTGTAATAAATTACATATTATGTAATATTTAGATTTTATAATATTTATATAATAATTATATATTACATATATAATATGTAATGTATATCATGAAGCATAAATATTACAAAATATATTATATATTATAAAAATTACATATATTATGTAAGATATATTCATCTTGTGTATTAGAGTTTATATATTTTCATATTTATTTCGCTTTATATTTTATGTAATTTATATTTTGATTTTATCACGTATCATATATAATACATACAACTTTTATAATATATAACATATACGTATAATATGAAATATGAATATTACGTAAGATATTATATATTATAAAAAGTATATATATATATATATATATATTATGTATGATATATTCATCTTTTGTTTTATATTTAATCTATTTTACTATTATATTTGTTTTATTTCATATATTTTATACAATATATGTATTTAATATTTACTAATATATAGCATTTAATATGTATTTAATATTTAATAATATATAGCATGTATTTTATATTTATTTCTATTTTATATATTTTATTTTATATGCTATATTTTATAAAATATTTGTGTGGGCATTCCTTCATATGTGAATGCTGGTTGACTACCGGGCACATGTTAGGCATGCGGGCCAAAATAGGGCCAACAGCTGTATATGGTTTTGCCTTGTGTCTATATCTATGGGCCATATTTTGTGTGACTGTTGGGCCACATTTGTTACTCACTTTACAGTGTTTGGGCCAGATCTGGACCAAGGACCCAGGTTTATACTGGGCCAGAACAACCCAAAGATGTGGCCCACAAGTGGGCCAGACAAATCTTGCTTATTGGGAAATTATTAATGCTATAATTAATGCTATTTCTGAGCGAGTTCTGATGCTGCGGTCTACACTTGTGTTCACCCGGCCCCTCTGCCCCTCCAAGAGGTCGTCTAACAAATTTCATTTGTCAGGGATTCCATGAGGAGAAAGTTGATGAGGCCATATTAAAATTTGTACAGGTGGACTCCCTGGGGCAAGCGGCAGGGGCAGGTCCCTCCTTCTGTCCAGCAGATGGCTCAGGGGCTGGTCAGGGATGTGGAGAAAGAGCAGGATGAACAGGAACATGCTGAGAGAATGAAAGCCATTAAACAATGTATTTTATCATGGCCTTATCTTGTTGTTTTCACCTGTCCATGCTCCGCCCACAGAGGTGTTGTTTCATAGCCATTGGTGCAAAGTTGTACAGAAAATGAAAAAGATTTACAGAAAAATATTTAAAATGATTTTTATTTTGTATCAGTTTTGCACGTTTTGATGCTCAATCATTGTTTACATGGTGATTTTTTCATAAAACATGGCCTGTGCAAAAGTCATGGCACATTTGATATATTATATTTCATGGTAATCTCAGCAAATCAATGGAAATTGCTTACATAAATTGGAAACAACTTTGGAAATCTCAGCTTCAAGTCTCAAGACTAATCTCACCACTAATCTGGTAATAAACCAGTGAAACAGGACAGATATCCACTATAAAGGAACAAAAATAGAGTGAATATGAATGATCACTTTCCAGAGCGCTTGAACCACCGGACCCCCACTGGACCGTTTCCACTGGGCTGAGAGCGCTGGGTCAGTTGTAGTTTGCAGTTGTAAACAGTGTGGTTGTAGGTGTCAGCGGCTTGGCACTGCTGCCCTATGCACCCTAGAGAGGTGAGATAGGGTTTCACTGAAGGCAGAGCCGGATTCTGGAGCCGCTTCATAACCTGAAGGGACACAGTGAGAGGCGGACTGAGAGATGGCCGGCCTTTCGCCTCTCGCTTACTTGCACTTCCTCTTTGCTTCGACCCTCCTGGGTCTCCAACATCCATCACGTCTAGTCATCGTTGTCTGATGTCTTCAGTTCCATCTACCGTGCATCACTGTGGATGGATTTGCATGCATGCTGGATTGATTGAGGACAGATCCAGGTACCGTTCATGGAACATCAGATGGATTAACAGATGTATTCAACTATAACAATCAAAAAATCTGACCTTCCAGTACCTGTCGGTCACTTCTTCTCTTATTTCTATATGACATAAGGGTGAAGATTGAAGATGTGGGCACCTGCAACTGTGTTGACTGTAATCACCATCAGTCTACCAGGTAGGTGTGTTGATGTGTGACACTCTACATGATGTGGGTTTTGCTGTAGCGAACACTGAGCCGGTTACCTTGCGCTGTTCTTAAGTGTAAAGTTACCTGCGTGCCCTTGCAGTTGTAATAGGCAGGTTATTTATGTAGCATCGATCTGAATTGTTTTTGCTTTAGCCTCTAGCTTCAGCAACATTGAGGGACAGGGGTGTAGAAATAGGGAGGTTGGCATTTATCAGAATCTGGCAATTGAACCACATTGATTTTGACATTGTTAGAATGGATTAGAATTGATTATAATTATATTGATCAGAGACACACAATCGGAATCGGCAGATTTTTGCTCAAAACATTAAACAGTTTGGCTGTAAAGAAATTGGATGTTGGCCAAAAAAAATTAAGGATCGGTGCATCTTAATAATCATAAAAATACATACTTTTTTGTTGGCCAAACTCAAATTCTCAGGCTATTTTTAAACGTTAAAAATCATAATTTTATTCTTTATATCAACTACAGTTTAAATAGTTCCTTTTTTTGCCTAAACGTTTTCCCTCCAATTTAGTCGTAGGCAAATCCCACCCACTAGCCAGGTCTCAACCTATGTTACGATGCCATCAAGCTGGGTGGGTAAAAGCTAGCATGTTCTTCCTCTGCACAATCTAGCCTGAACACGCTTGGAGGAGAATACTAATCGCTGTCAGCTGACAGATGCCCACGTTGACTAGCTAACTCTGGGTAATGGATGGATAAAGAGGATCATTCTACCCACCCACACACAGCGAGGACAATTATGCTCTCTTGAACTCATGACCATGGATGGCTATGGAATCACCAGCGATCTAACTTGATTTCTCAAAGATAGCTTACATGGTGGTGTGAGTTGGGAGGCAGTGAATCAGTGTGTTTTTAAAATAATTCTGAATCAAATGGTGGTGAAATGTAAGCACGAAATAATTTCCTAAAGAATCATAATCGAAATTAATCATAACAAGGTCAGAACCTCTATTGAGAGGCCAGTCTAGCTTTGTCGCTAACCACTAGCTGATCTTTTGACTTTTCAGGCTCATGGGCTAGCAAGTGGGTGGTGAGTTTCTCCAGGAAAGACATATGCGTCTGGGCTGGAACTACAGTAACACTGCCCTGTCGCTATGACTACCCGGCACCCTACAACGCCAAACAGGTGATGTGGTTCCACCTCACAGCGGAGGGTAAACGTGACTTGGCCTACCACACTGATGCTAATCTTGTGAGCCCCTCCTACAGAGACAGGATCAGATACATGGGGGGCCACAAGAGATGCAGTCTGCAGATCACCAACGTCAAACTAAGTGATGATGGGCAGTACCACTTCAGGTTCGAGACGGACCACCAGCAAGGCAGGTGGACCTCACCGGACGCCATTACCCTTTCAGTAACAGGTAAAGTGGACTTTCCAGGTAGCAAGTTTCCAGTTTTATCCCGACAAACGTCATTTAAAATAGTAGTTCCCAACCTTCATTCTGGAGTAACAGTTGTATGTATCAGTTGCGAATACATACATACTGTGTTTTCGATCGGTTGCAGAGCTTCGGGTACAAGTGCATCCAGCAAGAATTGGCAACATGTTTGCGTCAGGAGAGACAGTATTTCTTAGCTGTGTAGCTCGAGGCTGTGCAGCTGCTGGCAAGAACTTTGCCCTCTATCGGAATGGGGTCAACTTAGGATATGCGGACAAGGTGTCAACCATCTACAACTTCAACAACCAGCATGCTGGTACCTACTACTGCAGGCCAATACCACCTCAGAATGTCCAGTCCCCTGGCATCACTCTGGCTGTGGGATGTGAGTAGGACATCAGCTTACTTAGAAGAATACTTTTCCCAAAACTGTAATCTTATTGGCATAGTATTAACTACCCAGCAAACACACCTATGTGGGTCCAGTGTGGGCCCACTGTGGGCTGCGCATAGTGGGGCCTTAGTCAATCGTAAAGCCGAGGGCACATGCGAGCCCTGAAGTTAGGGCCCCATGGTGGAAGCCCACCCTTAGCCCTGATGAGAGTGCTTAGTGTGGGCCACCAGCAGGGGACCCTAACATGGAGCCCTGCACGTGTCTCTGGCTTCACAACAGATTGGGTCCCCACTGCAGGACTTTAAGCTCTCATATTAGAGCTTTTGTGTGGGCCACCAGCAAAGGATCCTAACATGGGGCCCCGCAAATGCCCCAGTTTGTATTGTATTCTTAGATTATTAACAATAGTAGCATTTTTGGGTCAATAATTCCCTTAAAGCAATAGTTTGGTAAAATTCATATGTATACAGTGTTCTTGTCATTTCAAACGTATTAGAGCAGCCAAGACGTGTTTGGTGTCTGAAGTTAGCTTCTTTAGGTTTGCACTGGAGCTATGAGGCTCATGTAATGTGATAATCTAATAAGTAATGTAAGCATTCTCATGAGCATCATCTATGCGAATGATGCAAATTTTTGGCATGTTAGCTCTCATTACTTGTTAGCTACATTTGCCTTGCAGCTTGAGTGCAAAACTAAACAAGCAAACACCAAATCATGTCTTGCAGTAAAGGTACTTTCTGCTGAAGTATTGCTATAAGCTGTAGTTATTCATTCATTAAATGGAGGCCAGAAACTTACTCCCACCCAATCTGCTTCTTCCAGATGCTCCTCGTCACACCACAGTGCAGGTCAGTCCCCGGGGGGCCATATCGGAGGGCGACTCTGTG